AATAAAATTTATGCCTCAGAAATAAATGCCCCGTTTCCAAATATACAATCAATCACACCATGTTTGAATATCAAAATTATTTGGTGGGATAGTATATGATAAAAAAGGATTAGATGAAAATTACTTAGAAGTTTTTTTATCCGTTTAACGGACCATTATATTGTTCGATATCTGGTGACCCTCGTGGGACACAAGCGAGGGAGTCGGCCCTCACCCAAATCTAGACAAAATCCAAGCGAGGGCGTCAGCCTGCGAGAATATGAAGGAAAAAAATTCTAAATTTTCTCAAAAAGATGTCGTTTTGAGCCTCGTCGAACACGTCAGATTGCCGACAATGCCACTTAAGACGACGGCATTGATTAGACCACCACATCAGCGATTTCCGATCTAAATTGGCCGGATGGACTACATTGAAAAATCATCGAAAGGTTTAGGATTACATTGGCCAGATTTGAAAATTCAGAATCAAATTGGCGGCCAACAATAGGTTTAAGACTTTTTGGACAGCTTTTCCCTTTGCTTGGTTTATCTTTTTTATTTCTCTTGGTGATAAAAAGTATTCTTTCGGTGCTCGATTACAATGATGATTGATGAAATGAAAAAAAATAAAAAAAATTATTAATAATAACAACAAGAAGCTCTCAAACTTGTGAGAATAGTTTTAGCAAGTGTTTCTGGGGATCAAATACTGAGGCAAACATTGCTACGTTTCTCGCTACATGCCAAAAGATACACCTAAGAAAGATGTAGCAAAATTTAGTTGTCGCATGAATATTTGTTTGATCCTTCAACGTGCACCCATGCAATTGGAAGGAATCGTTTGACTAGAGAGTATCTTCTTTACTTACTCTAACCAGCAGCAAAATTGGAGTGCAAGAAAGGGACTCCGCAGAGATAGAAACAATTAACTATCTTCGAACATCTGAATTTTGTATATACTGGAAATTAATCATTTAATCAAGGGTTTTGACAAATCCTAGTTTGTTTTTGAATCATGGTCTAGTCTTCCTTGTCAAAATTGACCTCCCGTCTTCTATTTTAAATTGGAGATTGTGTCTTTACTATATTCTACTTATTCATTTCTCATTAGTCTAAAGCCAAAAAACTGCCTCGCGTGATTTTTTTCAATAAAAAGAAAGGGATAATGACACAAGTAGTCCCTGAACTTTGGCTCAATAAGCAATATGGTCTTTGAACTTTTAATTTGTTCAATGTAATCCCTAAACTTTAACCCAATTGTCAATGGGATCCTTGAATATGGTCCCTAGACTTTGGGCATATGTTCACTGTATTCCTTGAACTTGAATAAATGGAAGGACTACATTAAACATTTTCATATAGTCCAGGGATTAAATTGAACAAGTACCAAAAGTTCAAGGACGACATTGAAAAAATAAAAAATTCAGGGATCACATTACACATCAAATTAAAGTTTAGGGATACCATTGAACAAATTAAAAGTTTTGGGATCACATTACGTATTGTGCTAAAATTTAGAAATTATTTATGTCATTTTTCCTAAAAACGAAGCGAAACAAAACCCATTACTTGGATACACTGTAGCAAAGTCCCATCAGTTATTGTTCAACATAAAAAAACTCCAATAATTTCCATGCGATATACAATATATTGAGATTTTATTAAATGAAAACATCAACTTTTCTTGTTGATGTTTGACTGTCTTTTAAAGTTCCGGTTCCGCGGCATTGAATACGAGCGCTAAGGAAGGTGCTTTGAGTTATTGAAAGAAGATGCTCCGCAATCCGCATTCCCATTGAAAGGTAGACCGACAATGCTCATGGTGTGAGCGTTTCCTGGTCTGGCGTCTGTCTTCCTAAATGTCAAAAGCAAAATCTGCAGACAAAACTAGGATGATTCAAGGAGAGAGATAAATATAAAAAGGTAAACCTCACACGACAGGTTTACGTTCTTCAAGATACGCCTATTCCGTGAGAAGAGATTGACGAGATGGTTCATTATAATCAACGAAAATGATACTATAATGGTTTAATCATACTCATTCGCAAGTGTTTCTCGACCCTTATTACACCCAAAAAAGCTCACAACAATTAATCAAGAAAGTCTCTCAAAATAGGTTTCTTTTGACGGCTCTCTAAAAGCTTTTTCTAGGCAAACAGGCATGTAGCCCTTCTGGTAAAGGGATTTAGAGAGGAGGGCCGAAAAGTACATAGCTCATGTTCGATCCTTGTAACCACCGCACGTGCACACACATGTATATAGTCGAGAGGAGTGAGACACAAAAAAAAAAAGTATTCTTTCTGTGCTCGATTACAATGATGATTGATGAAATGAAAAAAATAAAAACATTAATAATAACAACAAGAAGCTCTCAAACTTGTGAGAATAGTTTTAGCAAGTGTTTCTGGGGATCAAATACTGAGGCAAACATTGCTACGTCTCTCGCTACATGCCAAAAGATAGACATAAGAAAGGTGTAGCAAAATTTAGTCGTCGCATCAATATTTGTTTGATCCTTCAACGTGCACTCATGCAATTAGGAAGGAATCGTTTGACTAGAGAGTAGCTTCTTTACTTACTCTAACTAGCAGCAAAATTGGAGTGCAAGAAAGGGACTCCGTAGAGTCAGCAATAATTAACTATTAGTAAACTGGAAATTAATCATTTAATCACGGCTTTTGACAATTCCTAGTTTGTTTTTGAATCATGGTCTGATCTTCCTTGTCAAAATTGACCTCCATTCTTCTATTTTAAATTGGAGATTGTGTCTTTACTATATTCTACTTATTCCTTTCTCATTAGTCTAAAGCCAAAAAACTGCCTCGCGTGATTTTTTTCAGTAAAAAGAAAGGGATAATGACACAATCAGTCCCGAACTTTGGCTCAATATGCAATATGGTTCTTGAACTTTTAATTTATTCAATGTAATCCCTAAACTTTTTACCCAATGTTCAATGGGATTCTTAAATTTTTAATTTGTTCAATGTGGTCTTTAGACTTTTGGTACATATTCAATGTAGTCCTTGAACTTGAATAAATGGGAGGACTATATTAAACATTTTCATATAGTTTAGGGACTACATTGAACATGTACCAAAAGTTCAAAGATGACATTGAAAAAATAAAAAGTTTAGGAATCACATTGCGCATTGGACTAAAGTTTAGAAACCGCATTAAACAAATTAAAAGTTTTGGGACTATAATATATATTGGACTAAAGTTCAGAGATTATTTGTGTCATTTCTTCTAAAAACGAAACTAAACAAAACCCATTACTTGGATACACTGTAGCAAAGTCCCATTAGTTATTGTTCAACATAGAAAAACCTACAATATTGAGATTTTATTAAATGAAAACATCGACCTTTCTTGCTGATGTTTGACTGTCTTTTTAAGTTCCGGTTCCTCGGCATTGAATACGAACGCTGAGGAAGGTGCTTTGAGTTATTGAAAGAAGATGATCCGCAATCCGCATTCCCACTGAAAGGTAGACTGACAATGCTCGTGGTGTGAGCGTTGCCTGGTCTGGTGTCTGTCTTCGTAATTGTTAAAAGCAAAATCTGTAGACAAAACTAAGATGATTGGAGGCGAGAGATAAATATAAAAAGGTAAACTCGACACGACAGGTTTATGTTTATCAAGGTACGCCTATTCCGTGAGAAGAGATTGGTGAGATGGTTCATTATAATCAACGAAAATGATATTATAATCGTTTAATCATACTCATTCACAAGTGTTTCTCGACCCTTATTACACCCAAATAAGCTCACGAGAATTAATCAGGAAAGTCTCTCAAAATAGGTTTCTTCTGACGACTCTCTAAAAGCTCTTTCTAGGTAAACAGGCATGTGATCTTGTTGATAAAGGAATTTAGAGAGGAGGGCTGAAGAGTACTTAGCCCAGGGTTCGATCCCCATAACCACCACGCGCGCGCGCACATGTACATAGTTGAGAGAAGTGAGACACAAAAAAAAAAAAAAGCTCTTTTCTAGAAGTTAGGCTTCCTGTAATAAGGGAAATAGGTCAAATCCTATGCTTTATTTTCTGTCCCGTACGCATTCGGACGTTTGCCCGAAGTCGTAAAATGTCCGAAATCTTCTCGGCCGAATACTGCTCAAGTCGGACGTCCAGTCCAAAGTCCGAAATCTTCTCAGCCAAAAAACTGCTCGAGTCCGAAAATAAAACCCCTGCTTTTTTTTTAATCAGATGTCCGAAATGCTGGATTTCAAGCTTTTACACTTGATTGGATGTTCTACCAGCCTTGGCCGGACATCCGATCTTGCTTCCAGACGTCCGTTCTGGACTCGTGGTAGCCCCAACTTTGATGCTTCGTGCCGAACGCCCGTCACTTGATTTAGAACGTTAAAAAATGCCTCCTTGTGCACTCCAAAATATTTCCATCACTCCATTTGTCCTCGAATTATATCAAGGTGGTTTTAAACCCTTGTGTCTAATTTCAAGCCATATTCAACCCTAAGTGTGAAGGAGGCCTTGGACTCAGAAGTCTCATTTTCTGGAACAATACTCGTATAGTGTACTTAAAAGGATTTGGCATCTACTTTTACGGTCAAAGGTCTTTATGGATCGCTGAAGCCTCACATAAAAGCATATGGTTGGTAGTGGTGAAACTATTTCACTATGATATGATGATTGGTGGGATATTGCTAGATAAAGTATCCGCCAAAGGTTCATCCTATGACCCTGGCTTAACAGGTTGCCTAGTTTTGACAGAGTGAAGGCCTGGTGCGACACTGATGGATCTTGTATTCCATCCAGGTTGATTCTATCCTTCAATGAAGCTAGCTTGGAAATGGCAGATAAATGTAGACTAAGAAGCCTTTTGGATTTGATGTGCAATGGTCATAATGTGATGGACTTATCTTAGAAGAAAAATATCCCCGTCATAGCTTGCTGTCCAGTGCATAGAGTACGTAATCTGGAGATTATATTGCATTTCGCGCGAGCATGCCCTTGAATTTAAGGCAAATTATTGCATTCATCATGAGCAGAAAAATACGATATAACCCATAAACGCACCGAGGAGCTTCATTGTTCGATAATATATGCAGCGAGATCCATCATATGCACATACGATACATCTCTTATAAACCATACATTTACAAGACATATCTCACTAATTACAGTCGCCATTACGATATTCCTAAATGAATTCTTCATGGTCACTAACGTAAGATATTTGACCTCAAAGCATTAACAGAACACATAAGAACCAAAAAGATATATGGTGAAGCTCAGCGCAATTCCACAAGCAATTCCCCAGAAGCCTATCAAGCAGGTCATGACCAAGTTCGGGATTCATTGCCCGGCAAAATTGATCTCGAGAACATCTATGCGGGATGAGAAGAGTTAGTATGCTCATGATGAAGACGGTCCTTCATCATCTGAGTTACCGCATTGCTTCCTCTCCACGAACATGGGAAACGGTGGCGGAATGGCAGGATTCACCGGTAGAGAAAATGGACGAGCAGAACCGTATATCGTTCTCTCGTTGATCTTTCCCACTTCCTTGCACACCTGATCGAGAATAGACAAGAAGTCCCTCACCACCATGAAGATCCGAAACGGATGTGCCTCTTCTTTAGCCGAATCGCCGTGGAAATATTCTGTTATTTCCCTCACCAGCAAGAGGGAGTCACTTTCTTGGGCCTGGATCCGCATGATGTCTTCCTCTGCTTTTGAGAGGAACCCCTTCATGAATTCTGCGAATTTCGACCCTCTCTCCCTGGCTGCAACATCGCTACTTAGCTGTACGACATCCTTTACTTTCACGACCCCCTGAGCCAGTTTCGCAACTTCATTACTAAGAACACATGAATCCATGGAAGCTGCTTTCTTTACACTGGTAAGCTCTCCGCTAAGACTGGACACGACTTGCAGCCCGAGCTTCCTAAATTCAAGATCATCGCGAAGAGAGGACTGCTGATTTATGTCAGGCATGGCATTCTGATCGCTCCCTGATAAGCGGGAACCTTCAGCTCTGACTATTTCTTGCACGACGAAATGCAAGAGAGTAGTTTTCCCATCTGTGCCCTTCACATCTACAAGTTTGAGAAGTGTGTCCAGCTTGAATGCGTGCGCATCACCTCGGTTGGTACCTACATTCATGCGGTTTCCAGTTTTAAGCACAGCGTCCAATAGCTTCAAGAACATCTTGCTGTTCCTGAGTTCTTGACAGGCTACCTGTGAACATTCAAAACATGTGAGCAGCTCCTAGAGGACGACAAAACCATTCTTTTGGATTAGTAGTGATCAACCAACACCTCACCATAATGATGCAATATTTGAACACGAAATAGAACAACTCCTCAAGAATTTAGAACAAAAGAGAAACGCCGCTCAGCTGTAGGACTCGAGGCTAAGCACTCATCATACTCAATGGCACCAGGATCGTGAAAGAAAACATAAATCATGGTTCGGACATTTGTAAGAAACATCAAAGAATGGAACTGCAAGACTAAGGACAAGCTGATTTGTTTGAGGGTGAAGAAAGGCGGGATTCAGATCTTGTGCCATTGACAAAGCCGCCATCTTCTGTTGATTTCTCTCTTAAGTCGTCATTTTTTTCACATAGGAGAAGAAGACAGCAATAGCTCAGTAAAAAGCTGTTCATGATGGTTTAGCCGTGTGCGAGGAGTTAGGAAGTGCCAATGGAACTTTCTGCAACTTACTGGATCATTAGGCCAAGTGGCAGAATATCAGGTACTGCCAACTGATTTTGCAAGGAAAAGAGAGTTGAACCTTAATCAATTAAATGTACCTTACCAAAAAAAAAAACCTTAATCAATTAAATATAACCACAATGGTTCACCTTCCTTCACACAGTCAAGAGGAAGCTCAACTGTTAGTTTTCCAGCATATTAGATGTACAGTCTAAATTGAACAATCAACTAAAGCATTTCCAGAGCTTGTGTCTAGATGACCTAACATTGCTCCAATAGCAAATTCTAGCCTTTCTAATAGTAGTCATGCATATGTTATACATACACCACGCAGGACATTATCCATAAGTAAGCATAGTCATGTACCCAGAGAGAATAGTCCTACCATTGGGCATTCTACACCGTTCTCAATAACTTTTTTCTTGAAAGGTCAAAATGAAGTACAAGAGAATCAAGTAACGTATAATACTTCAATTCGAAAGTCTGTGAAAGTAAATATCTTGTGATAGTGCGCTTGCTGGCAAAAGCAGAATAATTGAAACAGAAGACATTGGTCATGGTTTGAGGACACAAGGAGTGGATCAAAACTGTCCAATAGATGATAAAACCTTAAAAAAGATGGTCAAGGCTTTAGACATCATATAAGACCAGTGAATCCTAATTATTTAACTAAGAACCGTCTTTAGAACACGTTCATGCCACTTTGATCACAATTGTAGGAAGCAGTTGCTATCTACATGAGCAGGCTGCGAGGAGCGACATATATTGACATAGTAGTAATAGCTACACATGCATTTTGCCACGATATAACGAGAAAATACCTTTAAAGTTTCGAAAGACCGTTTCAGATACTCGATTTCTGCGTCAAAATTGGCTATGTAAAGCATTGCATTGATCCTTTTAAATGCAAAAGGTATGTCAAGCAAAGCCTTGAGAAACTTTTCAGCTGGACCTAGTTTAAATGGTGATTCATCTTTGAACTCTTTCAATTTATGCTCTTCTTCCTTGGTCGGGGCCATTTTCAGCAAACTTTCAAGTAATTCACTCCCCAGAGAATCGGCATTACCTGTTTAAAAGAAGCGAAATGCTTCAAACTGAGAGTGAAAGATGGCACTTTAATAAAAGGCAGTTGCTGCACAATTATATAGAACACTGGTTTCTTCTTTCCCTCCTCACAGTATTTCTTTCAGCCGGAGTAAAGAGAAGTCGCCTTTGCTGCAATGCTCACTTCCCTTGTTTTCAAAAAGAAAATAGAAACACTAATAAAAAAAATATAAAACTTATTTAGCAACCTTTAGTTTGACATACTTTAAGCCATACAGAAAATGCTAGAAATATGTGATTGAACTACATAGACAAATATCGGTCAAAAAAATAGACTACGCAGATAAACATGGTAGAAAAAATTCATTATTTAAGAAAGTTTCCTACCAAAGAAAACCATCCGACCTTGAAACAGTCATTCAACTTGTGAACCGTGATCAAAGTTTGATGGCTGAAAAAGATTGTGGGACTATTAGAAATAAATCCAAACCCAAATTAAATAGATTTTGGGATATCACCAGCTTGAGATCTTACCAGTTATATGATTTAAAGAAGCATTCTTTAGTTGAGCAGAATCAACATAAGTATTTACCCAAAAAAGACACAGGCAGGAAGATACAGTCCCAGTGAAGATGAGCACTTACCCTCTAAGAGAGCTTCACATACTTCCTCAATGGTCACATTAAGTGCTCTCAACAAAATCGCAATGTTCTGTGACTTTTTAGGATCAAGAACTCGGTTCTCCGGGTTCAATGAAGTCAGAACGGAACGGGGAATGCTGTCTTTCGCACCTAATTTGGAGCTATTTACCATAAATAGGGTCTCAATCATCTCCTCATTGAGTCTGCAAACCAAACCCAGATTCAACAAACTTATAAACCTCTGCAGAGACTGAATCCACACGTTTGTTCCAAAACAAGACACGTTAGAGCAACTTTCTACTTTTAATATGAAAAGGATCGATCAAGGAGTAGCTTCTATCTATTCACCCAAGAAAAGAAATACTTACTGAAAAGAGCTAGATCTGAGCTGATCCCACACCATAGCCCGATCCGAGGTGGCTCGAACTTTATCCCAATGCAACGGCTTCAATTTTGGCTTGGGGGCCTCATCATTCGGCCTAGTAGCCTCAACATTGCCATTACCACTCTGCATTTCGTCATTCGCCAAGTTTTGGAACACAGCAGGTCTTAAAGGTGCGATAAGAACCGGAGGTCGTCCCGTGATCGGATCACGAATCGCGGCCGGCCTCTCCCAAAATCTTGGTGGCGGCACAGGAGGAGGCGGCGGAGGAAGCTTCGGGACACTCTGAATTCCCACCACAGGCTCTCTATTCACACCTGAAACATCTGAAGCTACTGCATTCTTGACATCGTATGAACCTCTCTCTGCTTCTGATGTTTGCGAAGAGGACGAAGACCACGACTTCAAAGATGGGGTTTTTGGCGGCAGAATCATCGGCTGTGCTCGGGACGGAGCCGGAATTTTGAGAAAGGCTTCTGGCGAGCTCGACTTCAAGCTCCTGGGGCTGGCATTCAAAGGTGGAGAAGGACTGCGAGACAGAGAAGGCCTCGAAGACCCTGAATTCGAGTACGGGTACGATGCAGTTCTTGAATTGAAGCTCCTACTCCCATAGCGGTCCACTAACGCGATGCCGGAAAACTCTCGCCTTGAGCTTGACAGGACAGGCTCGTCGACAATGGTGCTCTCTCTCCGGCCCGAAGACCCTCTTGGCGAAAAGAACTCCTCTTCTTCTTCTTCTTCTTCATTTCCATTTTTGTCACGGTCGTCTTCCACCACAGAATTCTTACTCCTTTGCCTGAAATTGTGCCGAGGAAGTGGCGGCAGCGGCTTCAGCTCCGGCGAGCCCAGCTTCTGGTACGCAGAAGCTGAAGACAAGCCCGGGATGATGCTGATCTTTGCACTTGCATTGCTGGATTTGGGAGTGGCAATTTCGCCGCTCTGTCCTTGTGGATTTGGCAGAGTACCCAGATAGAGAAACTCCCTGCTGGTATTGTTGGAAGAAGATTTGGGGGTTTTCCGGGCCGGAGCGGCGACGCCAGGGGAGGAGGACGAGGTTGAGGAGGCGTTGGGCGGGAAAAGGCGGAGGCTGTCGATTCTTGATTCCTTCTCGTCGGCGGCAGCAGCTGCGGCGGCAGAGGAGGAGGGAGGGAAGTGATGGCGGTGCTTGCGATAGAAGTAGAGGAAGGCGGCGAGGGTAAGGATGAGGGCGGCGGAGAGGAGAGAGACGGAGATGGCGACGGCAATGAGGTGGTTGGAGGAAGAGGAAGGGGAGGAAGGGGAGTGAGGGAAGAGGAGGGAGGAGATGTTGGCGGGGAATGTGGCGAGGTAGGTGGAGGGAGGCGGCGGCGGCGACGGGATGGTGGGAAAGAACGGTTTTTGTGGGGTTGAGGAAGCGGAAGACGATGAGGAGGGCGTTGTTGGTGTTGATGAAAAGGGAAGCTTTGGCTGTTGTTGAGGGGAGGATGATGGAGGCTGAGTTGGAGGGAAGGAGTCAAGTGGGAAAAAGGGCTGGTGGAGGATCCGCCGGTGGTGGCGGTGGCTGTCGGTGGTTCTGTCGGTGGTTCTGGCGGTGGCTGTGGAAATGGCGAGCAACAGAGTGAGGAAGAAAATGGAGGGACTGGGCATCGTTTATGGGTTAAAAAATGCTCTGCTTTTAGACGGTGTATCAAGAACTCAGCTAGTTTGGGAGTTCATGACTGCTGTTGAAGGTGAAGATAAGGAAGAGAATGTGCATTTGCAAAGATCAATAAGGAATATCTGCAAGAGAGAGAGAGAGAGCATGTTAGGTGGGTGAGAGGAGAATGTTTAGGAGGACGGGAAGAGAATGGTAGTTCAGTTTCAGAACCAAACCCCATCATCCCAGAGCCAAGGAAACGAAAAAAGAGCAGAACCCACCATTAAACTCTGATTCAGTAAGTAGAAAGAAGTGACCTTTTTTCAGTGTTCACAAAAGAGGAAAAGGGTGTGAGGGAGTGCAGGAGGACGAGGTGATATTGATAGCGATGGTGATGGTCACAGCCAGCAGATCATTACTGTTGGGAAGGTGAAGAAGAGGCGCAAACATTGAACAAAGAAAGCAGAGGGAGAGAGAGACGGGGAGGGGGGGCATACAAGAGGTCAAAAACCTGAGACTGACAGAGAAAGACAAAGCTCATTATGGGGGATTTGCAATTTTCTTTACTCCTTTTTCAAACCAAAAGATTCTTACAGGGATCGTACACTGAGACAGCGCGAGAGAGAGACACTGTCCTGTTTTTGAGAAGACGATGAGCTGTTCTACTTCTGTTTGACACCACGGGAGTGAAAGTGAAAGCCACTTTGAGAAAGCGCTCCTTTTCTTTCTCTCTTCTCTCTCTCTCCCCTCACCTCCTTCATTCACCAAAAGAGAAAATAAAAAGCACAAGAAATCAAGAAAAGAGAGGGAAGCTTTCTTGAATCTTTTGCCAATGCACACATGAAGTTGAAGTTTGAAGCTGAAGATGACATAAAAAAAAGGAGGTGAAAGAAGAAAATCTTTAGGGATTGTCCTCATTCTTTGGGGGGTTAATGATAGAGTGGGAATATATTTGTGTGCAGGAAATGCGAATCCAACCAACTTTTTCTGGGTTTTTTGTTTGGTTTTGGGGTCCAAAAAGGCGGTGAGTAATTTCCTCCATCTGCTCACACACCCACACCCACACCCACACACTGTTTCCTCTTTTCACTGCCTTCCTCTTTCATGACCCTCCCCTTATATAGAATTGGTCACCCAAGTTTGACACACAATATGTTTGACTCTCTTTAATTTTATTTAGATTTTGTTAATGAATACTTTGAGATACTTCTTAAGCAACCGATTTCAAAAAATTTACGGATTTAATTGTATGATTGCCCCCATGTTATGCACAAGCAATGCCTGGAATTCCTTCACTCTAAAATTCAGCAAACCGTATTCAAAGTGCACTTCTCTAATCAATCCTCGTTACAGTTTATTACATGATGACATAGGAGCTGTTACCGACTTGACCCAAGTTGTAGATGGTAAACTTAGGCCCTTGGACCCGGTTCAAAGAAGATATCCCCTAACTTGACCAAAAGGGGTGTAGTGAGATGCAACAAATCTTATTTAGAGCTCACATCGTTTCATGTGGCATTAGGTTACTTTAAAAAGTTCCATATATTTGGCGAAACGAATCAAATGCAATTGATAAATTTGAGGCTCGAATATGCAAGGCTCTATAGAAGAAAAAAGGCCTATCTAGATCACAGTTCATGAACCAAATGCAATCATAGTCTTTATCAGACCCACATGATCAACTATTATAATCGGCCCCGGGCCATATGACCCGAGGTTCCGATTAATCATTTGCCCCATCAAGTCAAGTTGTAATTAGCAAAGTCGAGCTCACGGAATCTCGAAAGCAAAATGAAATTGAAGATGCTATCCATTTGTTTATCCCTATCTATTCATCTGCAAAAATCAATTAAAATATACGAGAAGATGCCTGCTAGATTCGGCACGTGAATTATTCGAGTCAAACTCATTTCAAGCTTGAGCTGTACTCGAACTCAAGGACGACCTGTCCTTACACCAACCTAAACCCCCTAAAAAATTTCTAAGTTGCATGTTTGCTTCTGCCTATAATTAATGTCTTGCATGCAGTGAACACTTAACTCCATCCCTTTGCTGACTTTAACCTTACTGAATAATACGAACTCGACCTCTTCAGAATCTGTAAATCCCAAAATGCAACAAACAAAGCTAAAATATTTTGAGTTCCGATTTACTGATTACACATAATACGAGAAAGATGGTAAATTAAGAATAGCAAACTTTCTTTAACTTAGTAATTAGGACATTTGTTCTTCGACAAATAAAAAAGACATTTGTTGATAAAATTTGATAAGAATTAAGTGACCGTCCTTAATTCACTGTGAGATTAAAAACTTGTCTTGGATCATAAAAAAATATATAATAAATTATTATAAATTATTATAGGGTTCATTCCTTTAAGAATTTGTGGCTCACAACATGCTGTAAAGATAGTAAAATCCATAAAAACTTGAGTTAATATCACGAAAAACAACAAATCGGTACACCTGTGATAAATTTACACCAAACTAAAACCTCAAACTGATATATTTGTGACAAATTTACCTTCCTTTAAATTGTATTAATATCACGAAAAATCACAAACCGGTACACCTATGACAAACGGAGTATAAAACCTCAAATCGGTATACCTGTCAACTGTCACGTGTCATCCAACTCAAAACATATGGTAAAATTATTACATGTGTATCATTTTAAGATTTTTTATGATAAAAAAATAAATTTAAAATAAACTTATCATAAATATATCAATTTAGAATTTTTCGTGATATTATCCTGAAAAACTTTTACTATCGTCTCCTCTCGCATAGCATAATTTACGAGGGATTGCTCTCGAGGATTGGTAAGAGTGGAGACGGCGTCGCATGCAGTCGGTGGGACAAAAATAAGAAGAGAGAAAGAGAGAGAGCGACCCCACGTCACATCACGAGGCCCGAGGCCGTACAAAGGTCGTGAGAAAGATGGCTGAACCCGTGAATCAATGGGGAGGTAACATTGGCTTGTATTGTATTGTATTGGCGTTACAAAAGCATGTGAGTGAGAATAGGGGAAGGGCGGCTCCTTCTGTCCTCCTCCCCGCGGAAAGTATAATCCTCGAAACAGTCAATATCAATAATTTAACAAGCGCTTCCCCAGTATCAAAATTCGCTCCTTCCTCGTGTAAAATGCTGACCGTATCAAATAAATGCATTTCCATTTCAGACCACTAAGCCCGCCGGTGTCTCAAACTTCTAGTCATTTTTTATGATTCGGCATCCTTAGCAAGTATCCCGAAGACACCTTTCGTATAAATTTTTCTTATGTAATCCGTTCGCTAAGCGATAACCGTTGACCATGAATCACCGGCCTCCATCAACTTCTTCGTATCGTCTCTTGTCGACGTGGGTTTCTTGGGGAGCGCACCATGTTCTCTTCCCTCGTCATCCTTTCATCGTAATTTCTCTCCTACTAGTTCCTTTTTCCAACTGATCCGGCTCTTCCCACCGGATATGCTTCGTCTAAGAATCCGATTACCTCGCATGTTGATCCTCTTGTATGTCGCTTCGATAGGGTAAAACAAACTCTAGCTCATCTTCGTGATCGTCATTTTTGCAATTGTTAATGTCAATCTTATCGAGAGGCTCGCTCGGACGCTCATTAGCAGAAAGATGTGTCCGAGGGATTGGAGGCCGGCTTTAGAAAACACTTGCACATGGGACTTCGTTGATCTTTCTTATCCGAAAAAGTTACCATAGGTTGCAATTAGGTCTATAGAATTACATCTCGCTCTGATGGTTCTATTGAGATAAATAAGGCTCGCTTAGTAACAAAATGGTTTACTTAGAGTAGGGCATTGACTTTGAGGAAACCTTTGTTGCAGTTGCTCGACTTACATCTCATCGCACACCATTGGTTGTTGTTAAGGCTCCTGGTTGGAACTTATCACATAAGGATGTCAAAACTGCCTTCTTAAATGGCAATCTTCCGGAAGAAGTTTATGTGCAGCCCTCTTGTGGATATGATTGTCCTCCGGTCAAGGCTTGTCATTTCACAGAGCCTTTACTCGGCTTGAAACAGGCACCACATGCTTGGTTCACAAAAATCCATCATTGTTGCCGAATGATCTGATTTTCTTTCCAGTCCTCAGAATCCGGATTTATTTACAAGAAAGTCTGATCGAGGCATTGTTGCCCTACGTGCATCATTGAGTTTTTCTCTGCCTTTTTTTTTTTTTCTCTCAATTCGATTTTCTCTATTTCCTATCTTGATTTCATGCACATACTTCTGAATTTGTATCCTTTATTTCATAAAAATTGCCGAAATTGTTCCTAAACAAGGGCACTTTCTTGCCTAACCTCGGGCACGGCCTGCATGGGAGCAAATGTTTTAGGTGCACCTAGATTAATTATGACCATTATCTCAATCTTTGTATAGGTCTAGGATCCACTTGTTGCACAATTAATGATGACCGAGATTTATTAATTCAGGAGTACCCGACATAGATTTATTTTTAGACGATCCAATGCTTGCCATGGCCTACAAACGAGGCAACCCTTAAGTGCGCGGAAGCCAACTTTTCCTAGAATAAACTCCTGAACGGCGTTAAGCGCAAATTTGAAGTGTTGGGCAGGGGAAAATGTGGGAGAGAAAGTGGGTATTCCTATTAGGATATAAAAAGAAAAAGGTTTTACCCTAATGTTCAATTATTAGGCAATAATTTAGTTGGATACAAGCCATGGGTCTCCATCCAGAAAGAAAAAGAAGAGATCAAATAGCATCACTATCAGAAGATGCTGCGTATGATTGAATGCTAACGCTTGCATCTTGCATCTTGTCTATCCTTTTCTATGTGATTTTCCTCTTTCTTGCAATTCACAACTTACCTAATGCCTGATTTAGCAACAAAAAAAAAACTTACCTAGTGCCTGCCTCTCTCTCTCTAGTTTTGATGGAAATCCTAACACCACAAACCAACCACGGTCGTAGACATGACTACATGATACGATGGATTATCGATCATAAGACGACTATTTGCACATGCTTTGTTGTGGAGGACACGACGGGCCAATGAGTGTTGCAACGTGTTAGGAGGGCACAGGCTAACGATGGATTGTCGCGTGTCTAGAGGATACAGGTTGATACCAAGTCTGCTAGAAAAGGTTAGGGAGCAAGACGGGTCATTCCTAACGAGCGATACTCCGAGCCTATCAAGCCAAAACTCTCTAAGATATCTTAGTCGGATGGGGATAGCTTAGGATCTCGCCACTCATTCTAAGCTATTCCAGCATAGAGCTTTGCTTTGTGAAGCAAGCCTAGAACAAATTCCCAAGCAAGGTCATCTGTTAGTAAATCTAAGAAATTTTAACAAGCATCTATTTTTCAGAAATACAAAAATATGACCAAATTACGCATCTAAGTACACATATCATCTTACTCTTTTTACTTTCTTATATGATTTGTCGGATAAAAATCATCCAACCCCTCAGGTGGGATAAAATTATCCAGGTTACAACTGAGCAATATCTTATTCGGGCCAACAAATGCTGCTTAGGACTCAACAGAGAGAAAAAAACGAGGGAATTTGATATGAATCTACTTCTTTTGAGCAAGTGACGATGTTGGACCATCATGCATCGGTTCATGTGTATTTGAAATTTTCATCAAAAGGGGGTAAAGTAAAGGAGAAGGAAAGAGATGGAGACGTAAGAAATGCGTTTGATGCGACGTCAAAGCGTATGACGTTTTGAAATAATTGAGTATGTGCATAATGTCACTTCTTAAAAGATATTTTAAACATGTCTGTTTTATTTTACGCTATGCTCGCGATCCATATATAAAATACATTTCCTGTCACGATAGTCCATGAGATGGCGCGGCTGTCCCACTCCACCGGTCTCTTTAGCTCTTTTTCATTGCGCTCTCAATCGCTTTTTTTCTTCAATTATTGTAATTTGTTGGGCCAATTCAATCATTGTGATCGACTTGTGCAATTGAATAGAGTTCTTTTTGGGGGTGGAAAAGTTCTTTATGGGCTCATCCGACTTAGAGGTTGGATACTAGAGTCCGGTTCATATATGGGCTTATGCGCTTTTATTCGGGGATATACCGAATGAATGCCATCGAAAACAATTTATATCGTGTGTTATCCCGTCATAATCTTATATTCGACCAACAAACAAGAGTCTCAAATTGTTTTCCTTTTCCTAGCAATCCCTGCTCGTGCTCGGCCCTCAAAGTGGGAATGATGCTTCAAGTGCTACCCATTATCATGGCTAAACGTCTGCAAGTACTAGTAAGTTGTAAATTACTACCTCAGCTCAAGCACTAGAAAGGTCGCGGTATCGATCGAGAATTTGAATGCACGAGGCCACGGCATATGAAAAACCTCACCTTGGATAAAGTAAACTCCACTTGAGTTCCAAGTATAGCCAGTACAAGTTATAAGCCATTGTTATGGAAGAGATTGCAAGGAGATGTGTGCTCGACAATTACACATTCTCCGCAAGAATTGGCACTGAAAATTTTGTAGGATGACTATTCACTTGACTTATTTACTGGCTTCCCTTTCTCCCTTAGCTTGGCAATGGATTCTTTCATGGCCTCTTTCCTCTTTTTGCTGGCCAGTATTTTTGCCTGAACACCACTCACATTCGGGTCCTTTTTCTCCTCCGGCGGAGGTGGCGGTGGCCTTCTCGCCGCCGCATTCGTGCTCTGCTCGCCGAAGCCCAAGCTCAACGAACCAACCGCTAATCCAAGCGCAACGCTCCTGTGCTTAAAATATTTTTTGTTGAATACGAAGCAAGAATGAAATGAAAATGTGCATTGGGATGATTTCAAGGCGGCGTTCCTAATTCTGACAATATAATGACATTATCAAGTCCTAACTACAGGATAGCAAACTCTCAGTGTAAGAAAATGAAATTTGAACGACTCTTTTGCCAAGTCCCAAACTCTCTAAAATACATTGAAGTGGCGTCCGTAGTCGATATACTATCACATCGAATGTTCTAAAATGCAGCATTAGGTATATGCAGATATCTTATAAAGGTATCTCTTATGATTTAACTCGACCGTGTAGAAGTGAACATGGAAACAAACCTGCGGTGGACTTGTACCGGTTTGTCATCGGGGACTTGTTGGCGCGCTCCAAGGAATCCTACAATTGATGGCGACAATTTCTTCTGATTCGATTTGCTCGAGATGGCAGTGGCCGCAGCCAGAGGCGGAGATGCTGGGTTTAACGAATGACTCATGGTTCGGAGGCCACGCGATGTTCTTTTTGTCCAGAAGAGGGCGACCAAATTTTTTTCGGAGCTAAAAAGGGTAACGTGGAGAGGAACTGATAAGCGTTCGAAGTGGATAGTGTTTTGAGCTTGGACATCAATGAAAGCAAGAAACTCATTGGTTGAAACTAGATAGCTTTCCCACTTGTGGGTCCTGATGAGCGGCTGTGTTCGTTCGGTCTCACGGGGCTTATACTTGGAATATGTTCTTTTGATTCTCTCGCATCGATGTAAACCACCAATTTCTTGACCCCATTACTCTTACTAAAGACAGGACACGATCACGTTTCACCTTTCTAGTGCTTTCAACTCATGCTATACTTGAGCTTCTTTGTGCATTCTCGCGTAGATACACTAGTTTTCAACACTAGCATAAGTATGGACTACCACAAACATCACTTTTATGCCATCTGAGCCTCTGAATTCAGAACCCATGAGTAAGTGTAAGCAAAACAAGGATGGCAGCAGTATGATCTGCAATTATTGGAACACCTGAAGCCAAAATCTAAACTTCCACTCATTCTAAAATTCAAATATGAGATCGTTGACATCAAACGAAAAAATGGAGAACCAAAAAGCTTACAAAGTGCTAAAAGTATGTAGTTCTGAAATCAAAGCTGCAAATACATTAATTTCACTCATCATCATCCTCCTCATCGTCGTCTCCAACAGCTGAGTTGAGGGCATTCAGGCGCTCTATCAACTTCTGTTTCCTTTCCTCATAGGTTAGCTTCTTCAAGTTAAACCTATTCAAAGATGAAAGGAAGGCATCATACGGCCACTCAGAATACAAACAAAAGATCCACCGAGATATCCAATTCCAGTGGACGTGCAAATAAGGCGAGGGAAACTAGTGATAGAAGGAATTTCTAGGACATAGCACACAAAAGGTCAAAAACATCCAGGTCATTTCATTTATAAAATGGCGTTTCTACTTTCAGGAAAGATGACTATAATAAATGACAACATATAATATCCAATACCAGACAAGTAAATAATATAGAATGACAAAAAAATATGGCAGTCATAAGACATTTATGCAGTGTCTAACCTCTTGTGTTCCTTGGGTGCCGGCTTGTCAGACTTCTTCAGTGTGGGATCAGCCCGAATGGCAGCGTGGACTTTCTTGTACAAAGCTTCAAAATCATCTGCCTCTATTCCTTTCTTAATATATGCACCGAAGTGAGACTGATACTTTTCTGGCTCATCTTCCATCAGAGACTGAAAAAAGGAAGAGGTAAACTACTAAATCTGGTGAGAACAGGAAAAGTAGACAAATGGTAAACAAAGCCTTACCAACATATATGCGGAAACATGGCCACCATAGATATATTTGCGATGGACTTCAGGATCAAGCTGCTTGCTGTCCTTTGAGAAACCAGCGAATCGCTTTTCGCTGTGAGGAATATCGAGACCTCCGTCTAATGCTCCCTGCCAAATAATTTAACACAAACTATATGTAACCTTATTTCATGTAAACACTTTATCAAGCATGTTATATCCGCAATTTCCAATAAGACAGATTTTGTTTCGGGAAAAATGGACAGAAAAAATCCCACTATAGAAGTCAACAAGAAATCAAATCATGTAGCTTGTGTCAAATTTAATAACTCACAACTCAAATCAGCAAAACCGATGATAATCGCGGAAAACATTTAATGAATTGCCACGGAGTATTGTCTAAGGATATACAGCATGCACAAGTTGGCAAAAAATATTTCCATAACATTGGCTAAAAAACCCTGCATCGCATTTTTCTGTCAACTTATGAGGAACCTCATCAAGACTTACTCGATCAATCAACTCAAGTTACTGGCAACTTTAATTGATTACAGAATTTGGGATAAAGGAGTTTCGTGCAAATATTTATCTTAACTCTATGTTTATCTCAAAGGCCAATCCAGTGTTAATAACTGAAAACCAATGACAAAAGGTAACAAACTGCACAGAAAATACCTTCAAAGCACCGAACACACGGTTTCCGGTTGTTGTTTTCAAAAGGCCAACATCGAGGAGAGCACGGAAGGGCCTCCTGGTCTCAGCAGGTTCAACTGTGAAATCCTCCCCAGTAGCCTAGCACAAAAGAAATTTGTATCTTATTTACAAGTGTAGACGTAGAAGAGGGTTCCATAAGATGATTGGGCATCAGGAAAGTATACCTCCACATTTCCCTCATATTCACTATCCATTTCAAGCTTTTTCAAAACTCTGCGGGCCAACAGCAGGCCAGTGCAATATGCTGAGTACAAACACCAAGTAAAAAGCATTATCAGGAGTGCAAACTAGATACCTTTTGACCATATGCCCATGCATGTTCAACCAAAAGTTCCAGAAGGGAGGAAAAGAATAAGAGACAAACCAGCTGCGTAATTAGTCAGACCAGCTTCCAGCCCATAGTGAGGCAGCTCGTGAGAATATGCTGAAGCAAGCACCATATCACCAGCAATGCTAGCTGATATTATTTGGGCAGTGATATCTTTATTGGTCTGATTACAAGGGTCAAGGTACAAACACCGACTAATTTAAGATGAATAAAACTTAATGTCTAATCAATTCACAGCCCAAACCAAAGCCCCAATAGCCCTCTTTTGTCGTCTCCAATAGGTCCTTAAGCTATTTCAGTAATCCTTCTTTCAGTGATCCTTCAACAAAATGCAACGTACCATATAAAACTATCATGAAAGCACCAAGAGTTCACCCCTTGCTGCTCCACAATGAATTTTTCTTATATGTAGAAGAAAATTTAAACCTGATGGGAAACCCCCTATTCTCTTTTTATCTCTCTTTCACCTCTCTAGTAACCTAACAACTAGAATAGAAGCATGAATAATTTCTTCTTCTGGTCAAAATATATAGTAATAGAAATACGGAAGAAAAAGATGACAAAACAGCAAATGTCATATGCAATCACCATTTGCGGTAGATGCTATTAAGGATACAAATCGGACCACGAACCGATATTTTGGAGTGTTGTACTTGTTCTTATCCTGATTAATCAGGCGAATCCTGGCTCGGTAGTCGGTCTTCCCCTCTGTTAACGAATTTCAGAGAACAGCGCGATGAGTAATTAAATCTCAAATTCAACATCTGCATATTTCGTAACAGTGCGAAGTATCATATATACCTCTCCTTCTCTTATACTTGACCTGGAACCGCTTAAAATAGGCCTTCGACTTTTGAGACTTGACGAACACCTGTTTCGAAACCGGACACGAGAAAACATCTCAAACGAACAGATTAATACACCAATCCGGCATGAAAACACAAGAACAGCAGGAAACGGGAACACGGGAATGCATGACCAGGGGAGCTCCAAAGTCCGATATCAGCAGGGCCCGGAAAACCCCGAAACCCATACTCCAACTAATGGAACTAAAAACCCACAAAGGAACCGACACACAAGAAACCTGAAGTTGCAGGGCAGAGCTGAAAAGTACATATAATGGAATCTTCGGCTCCATCTTACATCGTTATGCATAATACATGAAAAAGCACTAGACCAATATAGATCAACAACCAAACAGGCGAAGGCCCATTTCCCAGACAATGCGGCGCGAAACAAGGGTAATCTAACACGGGCACAGGAACCGACAGCAAAAATCTCATAAAGCAAATACAGAGCCAAGCTCATGAACAGTCGACATCAAGAACTGCAGAGACGATGAGACACAAACCATGTTCCGAACGAATTACGCTAAAGGGTCACAGAAGCTAAGCGCGGAGAGATCACGCGAAAGGAAGCGGAAGCAGCGGAGAGGGTTCTCACCATGTCTGCGACTGTGGAGGTGGAGACGGCTGAGAGAGAGAGAGAGAATGCAGAGCAGCGCTAAAAACCCTAGTCGTCGCGCGCTTCCAAGCTGAAGCTGACGCCAGTTAAAATGCAGATGGGGGCGTATCTGTAATTTCGACCGGCTGGGATGGGCCTGTTCCACGTATGATGGGCCCCCAAAACATAAGTGACCGAAGTCGAGCCCATTTAGAAGCCCATCATGCAATGTCGCGAACGTTTCGTGGTTGTTATCTAGAGATCCGCTTTCAATTTGTGAAGACATATCGTTCAAGCCATGATGTTGGTGTGGTGTTCTTTTGAGCTTTATGGAAAATCCACCCAAAATATACTTTGGTACACATCGAAAGCATCTCCGGTACGATATGATGCGATGGTTGTTTGGACACCACGTGTCCTAGATCATCCGTGTTCGAAAATTGGACAGGCCAATCGAGTCAACCGGCAATTGAATTTGAGCTCAATTCGACTCAATCATGCAAGGCTCTTGATACTTGGCCTGGCCTTTGATTTTTCTTGCTCAAAATCGAAACTGACAAAAATTTTATTTTAGTTGGAGCTGGAGTCGAGCAACTCAAGTATCAAAACGTTAATCTTTCCTCCAAACTCTCAACTTGGAGTTTTCAGTGGAAAATAACTTGGTGAAAAATTAATGGTGCGCTTCTAATGTGTATGTGTAGGTATGAGCCACTCGAGCAAGTATTCACAAATTCGAGCTCAACTCAATTCAATGATCAAACCAAACTGACAGATCTAACAAAGAAAATGGACCCAAGCTCAAATAATCTTCTAGTGAAGATTTACTTAAGAGTAGCATCTCATTTGCAGTCCTAAAACACAGATATCAGTCAAGCCAAGTATTGCCATTCTGAAATGGACTGGATTTCTCATGTTCCTAAACACAAGTAGGTGATGGCAATCAAAGACTCTTTTAGTTTAAGGCGACCACCAATCAGACGGATGATGTGCGGGGAAGGCAAGCTATCCCTTCCGCTCGAAGCAGTGTCGGGACATGAGGGATCATCATACAGTAAATGAAGTTCATTTTTGCCCCGGTTATTGACTACCTCAAAAGGCTATGAGAGCCTTCCATCAAATCCGACCATATTTAGAGGGCAAGATCAATGTGTTAGCCCTTCTGAAGACAAATTATTTACAAAACACAGGTGAGGAAATTATTCTCGCATTTGCTCAAGTATTTGAATATCCCGTCAACGAATAAGTCACTCCAAAGAAGGCTAAAACTTCTAATTACAACTCATCCAGCAAGTTCACCAGTTCCTGGAACCTCTATAACAGCACAATCTATCACAGAATCCTACCTCGTGTACCATCCATGTTCTGATTCTATCCACCATTATTCAATCACAACAATCGGACACCCATCAGTTATTCTGGACATCTACACAATCTCTCTCATACCAACCAACTGCTCAACAGAACAGTAAACATTCATTTCCTGTCGTCCATCTCTGAGGCCGTATTCATCAGCTATGCAATGATAGCTATCAACCGACTATAACATAACTCATAACATTCTTTTTACCAAGCGTCTCTCTGCCATTAGTGATCATTCTGTGGGTGCTGACATGCTGTTTTGGGAGATTCAGGCGGAGTCATTCAAGACAACACAGTATAGACTCTACCTTCGAGTATCCCATGCTGACACCTGTTATCACACATCAATAAGAGGGACATGATCAGTTTTAATGGCACAAGAATTGCTATCACAAAGTATATAGAGAATAATAAAAGTACTTGCCTAGTTGAGAGTTTCACTTCTGATGAATATATCTCCTGGCCTTGCAACATGAACCTATCATTCTTTTTCAGCAATAACAACAAAAACATCTTTCACCGACCACGTTTGGCGCTCATCTTTTGCAGGGGGATTTATGACAGCTTTCTCTGCGTTGGCTAAACGATAGCCTATTATGATTTCCCTCCTCAGTCGGGCGCGTAAGAGTAGTTCATAGAAACTCAACTCTTCACCTTCACGAAGGTAGAGATCTGCCGGTCTAATGTGCATCTCATTTCCCTGGTAGCGGCCATAAAACCCACCATTTAGCTAATGAGAATCTCCAAAACTATATACACGCAGAACTATGACAAATTAGAAAATATATGCACTAAAAGAACACTAAGTTTCTCAGCTGAAGATTAGGAAAGTCATGAAACATGAGAAACAAACAAGAACGAAACCATATGACTTGACACAGTGCAGACTTCCAAGGGAGTAATGACAATAGTAAATGAGTTCGAGTGAAATTTGTCTATAAATAATATATACTTTGTACAACCTTTCCAAAGTGCAAACTACCTATAAAAATTCATTTTTGTTAGATTCAAATTGTACCTCCTCCGCGAAGAGCTCTTCCAAAACATCATTTATCTGGCGATCCTCAGCAACCATTGCCAAAGCCATGCTGACAAGCTCGTTTGACAAAACATAATCACTGATTTTGGACATAGATAATAGATTTTTAGTCCTTGGATCCAGTATTTCAGATATGATTACTGATTTATCAGAAGCCTGCTGCATTTCCCCCATCCAAGAGCCTTGTGAGAAATTTCCTCTGCGAGATGGGGCCACACTGTAAGGGAGGCGCTTTGCCTGAGAAACAAAAGAGAGGAAAATGGATGTCGACAAGTATAGGAAATAGTTTTGACCAAGACAAACATCAAGAACGGTACCGAGACTTTCCCACTCCGCAAGACTGCTAGGTAGAACCAACTATGCCCTTGGGTCTTTCTACTACAACATCCTCGACAAAATCCTTATAAACGACGACAATGTGAGAGCTTCCCACACCAAGCCCCCCTCTGTAATATGGTCAAGCTGAGTTAACACTATCGAAAGTTGAAAATCCTCAATCAAGCCAGGCTATTGGCAACCTTTCCCCATGGATCCAACAAACACCCCCATAAGAACCTCACAAGCATGACCATTGCAGTGAATATTACACAAAATTACCCCTCAAAGAAAAAAGTAGGATATATTCCAATTAAGTGATGGTCAAATGCTCATGTTGAGTAGGGTGTTAAAAAATTCAACTTATAAAGAGTAAAGTAAACAAGACATCCCCCAACGAATTAAATGAAGCTCGGACTTTGGAGTACCTGTATATCACGAATTAACAACAACGTGGCAAGAGATCTTGAATCAGCTTGAATGGCTGAATCTTCCACTGATTCATCAGCAAGAATTAGAATCTGTAGAATCAGCATCCAATGAGAGCATTTCACAAAATGATTCATCAGCAAGAATTAGAATCTGTAGAATCAGCATCCAACGAGAGCATTTCACAAAGGGATAGTATTAACCTAAGAAACTGACAGGTCAAAGTTGTAACTGTCTTCTCTATTATCAAAATGAAGTCAGAAATTATCAGATCTTCTGGGCATTAGACAGATTAAAGAAGAGTTCTGTAAAATGTGCATTCATTTTTCAAAAAGTGAACTTCTTGACTAGTTGTTGTAGCAAAATAACCAGTGCTAGTGCCTGACCAAAGCAAAAGATTTAAGAGAGAGAGTTTCATTCACTTACTGAATCGAAAGTTTCCAGAGGGAGACTCTCCAGGTGACGCCGTATAACTGCGTTTCCTTCCCGATTTTCTAGTTTTATGTTTGCAAGCCTGTTAATGTCAAGACCACCATCAATAAGCTTCTTTTCCCTCTCCTTTTCTGGAACCTCATTGAACATCCAGAGCTCTGATTCAGGTGCTAGAGACGCATCCAATACCTAAAGGACAGACGGCCAAACCATAATCAACAGATATGAATTGAGTCCTTTTTCATGGCACTACAACCAATAAAGAGGTAGTCCTGGCTTGTGAGATCATATTTGTAAGCCCTTATTAAATTATGGCCAAATGAGCCGAGTAAACCACGGTCCTTCTGCAGAATTCCAGAGAGAACCCATCTGTTTAATGAACCTAGACACTTGACCCTACACCCTCTAATAATTTTCCTTACAAGGTTGGGCACTCGAGATGCAAAGATGACGAAGTGGCAGAGCCAACTCTCTGGCAGGGGGATGATGTGGATTTTCTCCTGTAATTTAACCAAACTAAAGGAGTTTCACCATTACCTTCTCTGTATGAAAACATGCAGAAAAATTCCGACATATCACCTGCTAATTCTAGGTTTGCTTATAATTACCATAATCATATCTTCCATATCTCGCCGCCAACCACAAAAAAGTATCTTTTCTGAAGACTGGTCAATACCAAAATCTTTGGGTACATGTCCCCTCCATACCTGCAGCATTAGGTGAAAAGAAACAATTAGGGGCTTCATAGAAAGAGCTTACCACAATCATATCATCAATGTCTCTCCTCCATCCACATAGTAGAATCTTCTGTGGCTTTCTCGCTGGAAGGGGAATGTGAGTGAATGATGCTTCTTTGACCTGAATGATTAAATTAATTACATTTTTATTAAAGTTTTATCTCTGGTATGCCACTCAGTTACCAGATTAAGCATCATTCTGAATGAATAAGAAACCAGCTAAGTTTCATGGCAAGGAGCAATACAGTCTTATCTTCTCAGTTATTACACCAGTCATACTGTCATACTTGTGCAACCTTTCCAAAATAAACAACCACATTAACCAGGTGCTATTGTGACATCGTGGTCTTTCCAACTGCAAGGGTATTGAGCACAAACAATGACAGTTGCTCCTGCTGGTGATTGCCTACCATAACACCCTTTCTTTTCCTCTCAATAAGTGTGCTTGATATAGGTATACGTAATTTTTTCTAATCCTATGCTGACATTTCTTAAGTCATTATGCTGAAAATAACAAACAAAAGTTCGTCAAGACCATTTCTAGAAGAGAAAAAAGCACCATGGGTAATGCTGCTGGAGCATATGTATCATCATCTTCTGCTATGACAAGAACTTCATCGCCCTCTTGTAGAACATAGGAGTCGTCAGGATTCAGGATAATCTTACCACCACAAGATGCAACCTTGATTCCACAAGGTATTGCATCAGGAAAACTTATAAGCACATCCTCGAATTGAACGCCATCCAACTGGGGCCATCTTTTGATGTAAAACTCACAGTTTTCAAACCCAAGGATATCTTCCCAAATCTGCCATGAAATCACAAAGCCATCAGATGATTAGAAGAGGGTGATGAGAAGTAGAGAGAGAGAGAGAGAGAGAGGGAAAAGCTTGTTGTGTATTAACCAGTAGTGTCTAATACATATACCAAAAATAAGACCTAAAGGTCCTAAGGACCACTTTACCCTTTTACTACTTCTAACACTCTCCCTCAAGCTGGAGCATAGATATTAATCATGCCCAGCTTGTTACAAATATATTCTATCCTCCCATTACCCAAAGGTTTAGTAAAAATATCTGCAAGTTGTTCACCGGTTCGAATATGATTGGGAATGATCATTCCACTCTGCAACTTTTCCCGAATAAAGTGATAATCAACCTCAATGTGTTTTGTTCTCTCATGAAACACAGGGTTGGAAGCTATATGCACTGCAGCTTTATTGTCACACCATAGAGTCATGGGTACTGAAGCTTTGAAGCCTATCTCAGTCAATAATTGTTGAATCCACACTAATTCACATGTCACTTGTGCCATGGCTCTATATTCTGACTCGGCACTCGAGCGTGCAACAACATTTTGTTTCTTACTCTTCCATGATACTAGATTTCCTCCAACCAAGGTACAATAGCCAGTAGTTGATCTTCTATCATCTGGAGACCCTGCCCAATCAGCATCAGAGAATCCTTCGACTTTGCTATGACCATGATTTTGGTAAATAATTCCTTTTCTTGGAGTCTTTTTCAAGTACCTCAATATCCGAATAACTGCATTCCAATGAGATGTACGAGGAGAAGATAGAAACTGGCTTACCACACTAAAGGTGAAAAATCAACTATAGGAACTATTTGCTTGCTATTATGTTTGACAACTAGAATCTGTGAGCCAGGGGAAGAATAATTAGCAGAATACTGGAAAATAATCATCTTGAAGATTAATTGCCAGTTTAGTTACAAAAATTCAACACATTGCATGAAACTGACCTGTGCCAATCCAGGCTGCCGGGCACATTGAATCATCAAGCGACCAATCACATCATGTGCCACAACAGTTTCAACAAGGTCTCCGCCAACAAGTTTAACGAGAATTTCATTGTCAAGATCGCTTAATTCAACCACAATGTGCCCTCTTAACCCTTCTTTAACTCCAGTTAAACTTAGGACCGTCCTTAATGCACGAGCGTCACTCTACATCCAATTGGCAGAGTAATACAATTGAATCAGCTCCTAGCAACTACCAAAAAGGCATAGAACTTATTTGTGTTGATTAATCAAACCTGGTCAGCATTACCATCTACAGCAAGGACAACTATTGCTCTGGCTTTGGAGACAGAGACCTGCATAAGAAAAATAAAAAGGTTAATGTATCCTGCATATGCAATTTGGAAAGCAAAAGGTAATGAACTTTTTGCTAAAGATCAAGTACTCAGTAGAGGTTCTTAAGTAAGAAAGTTGCAAGAAACAAGACAAGATGACAAAAGTATATGAGAGAAATAATAAGACGGAAAAGTTACGCATAAAGAGGGGTATTGGGCTCATGGTGGAGTTTATGGGAGTTTAGAGAATTCTAAAAGATTGAACCACCACAAGTAGGAGGGGGATTTTAAAAGGCAAGCATGTGCTGATATATGTGCATCAGATGAAGATCTACAGCATGGACCTCACTTACGAAAGAAGTGTCATCAGGATTAGGTCTGTTAACACACAAGGGAGAGAGAGAGAATGAAAAACATATATATAGAAAGGGAAGGGAACTGGGTGACGCATGAACTAGCATTGTCTATGTTTAGCATGTTTTTATCACCTGGTTCACCAAAAAGAAAAAAAAGCATATACATATGTGTGTGTGTGTGTGTGTGTGTGTGTGTGAGAGAGAGAGAGAGAGAGAGAGAGAGAGAGAGAGAGAGAGAGAGAGAGAGAGAATGTCTAACGTCTTATTGAAGAAGATCAGAATTTGAAGAAAACGAGTTGTTCTCAGCGATATATGCGGTTGTGCATATCTAATGGTGTATCAATTTGCATCAAGTGAGGTAACAACAAACGACAAACCGATCACTGAAAACAAACAACCAAGTGAACATCACCATATAAGTGGATTAAGAAGAGATATTTTAATTAAGGATTTCACCGCAGAACTTTCAAATGGCTTCATTCTCAACACTGAATAAAAAAACCTTACAGAATATATCATGTTATCTTTCCCTAACCCCTTCACACATTTCCTAATCACTAGTACAGTTGAGATCCGCAATGTACATCAAAACAACAAACAGAGAATAAAGTTGGCTAAATAATTAACTCCTTTCAGACATATTTGTATCAAATCTGGACACCCACTTCTGGTTAGTTCAATCATTAATATTTCAAAATCATTACTTTCACTATTGACCAATAATGACCTTTTTCAAGTCAGCCAAAATTAGAGGGCTGCCACTTCTGCATATAACAGATGTTCCTTTGAAATCAAACTCCATCTTAGCAATGTCAAGTTCCATCTCCTCTTTATCTCTTTCAGCCATCACCACAATGGTGCCTCCACCCAAACTCTCATTTGCTAGCGCCAGCTGATTCAACAACGATCCCTGCGTTTTCCATGAATTCTGTGTTAGCACTAGGACAGATATAGCAAATAACAAGCACATATTTTTTATGAAACTTTTAACATAGAAGTATGTCAGCGAACATAACCCAGTGCTCAAGGCCAGAAAAAAGAAAAATTCAGTGCAACTGATATTAAATAGACTAGACATTCCCTTGATAGGGTAAGTTGGATGGTACCAGCTTAGGAACCAACAACCAGCAACTTTGCTTAGTCTCTAGGGGGAACTAAACTATTGCAGTTTCAATAACTGATTTCAGTATGGTCGTCTTATTCACATTAGGACAAGCATGTCATGCACTAACTAATGTCTGACTGTATAAGCGCAAGAATCACAAAGACGTAAAGTAAAGAGGAGAAACTGAATAACCAGAAGTTTCTGATGTAAATTCTGAGTCTCTGTTGTTAAAGTGAAAGACATTGAGTCATTTTCAAATTTCTTAGATTTTTTCTATCTTCTAGAATGTGAATGGGGGCACCCCCTTGGTGCTCTGTAGTACACTTCCTTATTACAAAAAAGAAGGTAAATTGTCAAAATCAGAAGTTTATGAAGTAAATTTTTGCAAACCATAACATGATTATCTCGCAATTAACACTTTTCCCTTTTCTTCTTCTTTCTTTTTTTGTTGGGGGGGTGGGGGCGTCCACAATATTTAGATTTAAGAATCAGGAGAATCAGGATATTACCAATTTATCACTCCACCCAAGAACTAAGGTGTGATTCTGCTCAACTACTTCACTTCTGCCTTTCCTCAAGGAGTCAAACTTCTCGGAGATTGCATCAGAAACAAGTCCAAGCATCATCGCGAATATAAGCATTCCTCCAAAACTAATGGAAACTGATACGAACCTTGGACCAATACCTTCTGAATCAGCATGATTGCCTGCACTAGCGACATATGTCCATGATAACCAAAGACAATCTGCTATGCCATCATCTGTGACACCAAAAAGTGCAAGTCCTCCCAGACAGATGAGAAGTAATGTTGCAACCAACAATGCCAATGGCTTAGCATATGGATGAACCGAGAAAGATACATCCAGTCGATATGCTAGCTGCTTGCTCAAAGATACTTCTTCCAAAATACCATCTGATGATCTTGACCTTGGGACTTTGTCAATGCACTTGAGCAACAGAATAGGAAGACATAATACGGAGAGCGAGCTTATCAGAGCAATGTTTTTTAATCGTTTATTAGGTCCATCTTGATTCTGATCATCTATAGAACCTTCAACATCTGCTAAATCCAATAAACTGCAGGCTTGCAGTGTAATCCTAAGTTGAGAAATTTGCCCCTGAAATTTAAATCAAACTCCATTAAAGAGGCAATTCGAGGATAATTACTACAGATATTAATTAAAACTAGTACTTATAGTATCATTATCCTTGATAAAGATTAAAAAAAAAATTGGATGAGAAGTTAGCTAAAATTACCTTGCTTACATAAGATACCAAGCTGAGGATGTTCATACACAAGTAGCCATCTTATGCTTTAGCCTCAGGCAACAAAGAACTGCATGTTCGGTTTGCATTTTACTAACTATTTCATTCCCAATCTAATCGTCATTAAAACAATTATTTCCTTTGTTTGGTTCGAAAAATAAATTGATAATAGCTATTCATTACCTCAAAATCAGGATTAGTTACTCGACAGAGAGAGAGGGGCGTGGGGGGAAGGAATGCCTTTCATGCAGACAAAAATAGCTCAATTTTTTATATTTCTAACACGACCTTGCAATTTTCAATATATAATAATAAGAATTTGTATTAATCATATTTAAATTATGGATATGATATAGTATTTAATCTATATGAATTGGTAAATTGAAGAGAATATGAATGCAGTCAATAATACAAAAACTAATTTATCATCTATTTCATTTACAGCTTAGCTTACTCATAATTAAAGCTTAATTCATAGTCATTAGTCTAATTTACATATCATCCAAGTAAATGTACTTGATACCAATTTATAATTGAATTAGAGCGATGGTTCGTGTTTATTATTTATTGAGAAGAAGATAATAAGTTATCTTCTATTACCAATTACATATTTGACTAAAAACAACATTTCATTGCAATAATTATATATTGGGAAAAAGCCACCAAAAACCCCAAACTTTCCCACTTGTGACACATTTACCCCGAACTTTTTTTGTGACACAAAAAACCCCAAACTTTGCTATTTGTGACACATTTACCCCAATGTATTTAGTCCATGGGCATTTTCGTCTTTTTCTTCTTTTTTTTCCTTTCCGGCGATCCGGCGAGGGCGGCCCTCGCCGGCGTTGGGCGAGGGTCGCCCTCGCCCGACTCATGTGAGGTCGACCCTCGCCGGCGTCGGGCGAGGGTCGACCTCGCTCGAGCCGGGCGAGGGCCGCCCTCGCTCGCGGGGATCCGGCGAGGGGGCCCTCGCCGCGTCGAGCGAGGGCGGCCCTCGCCCGGGCAGCGAGGAGACCCTCGCCGGCGTCGGCGAGGGTCGCCCGCGCACAGGCGAGCGAGGGCGGCCCTCGCCGACGCCGAGCGAGGGCGGCCTGGCCGGATCCCGGCGAGGGCAACCCTCGCTCGACGCCGGCGAGGGTAGCCCTCGCCCGATCGAGCGAGGGCCGCCCTCACTCAACGCCGGCGGGGCGGCCCTCGCCAGCGTCGGGCGAGGGTTGCCCTCGCACAGGCGAGCGAGGGCTGCCCTCGCCCGACTCAGGCGAGGTCGACCCTCGCCCGACGCCGGCGAGGGCCGCCCTCGCCGGAAAGGAAAAAAAAAAAAAAATGCAAAAAAGACGAAAATACCCATGGACTAAATGCATTGGGGTAAATGTGTCACAAATAGCAAAGTTTGAGGTTTTTGGTGTCGCAAAAAAAAGTTCGGGGTAAATGTGTCACAGATGGGAAAGTTTGGAGTTTTTGGTGGCTTTTTCCCTTATATATTCCAACTTATGGTTATAAGTTATTGTCTATGGCCAATTATTTATTTGAGATAATCATATATTCTAAATACAGTTAGAATTATAATTGAGAACCAATGTAATTTAAAAAATATAATGATCATTTAGTTTACAGAGTACGTACATAATTTATGTAAAATATCTCTCTCACTAATATTCATATTTCACCAAAGGGTATTAAGGGTAAGTTTTCATTCTTAACTTGTACCCCATACGAAAATAGTCTACAGAATAAGGACTTGGAATAACTATTCAATCTTGCAAGCAAACTAGAAAATAGCTATTGCATTCCTATTCCTGCTCTATCCCCCAACATGGGATTAGTTATCCAATTCTGCAAACCAAAACTCGCGTCGCTATGAAGATTAGTTCTTCACCAGTTTCAGTTGAACCAGCTCGAGTCCTAGAGCTAAAAAAGTTCATTTACCCAAGAGAGTAAGCCTACTGTGCATGAATTTTGTTTTTCTGAAACTGCAAGAGTGCGGTAACTAGACCACAGATTGCTAGTTTGACCGATAGAGTTCTCAAATTCGTTGAGCAGAAGATTTTTTCAACTCCATTAATTTAACCAGAATTACTCAACCATCCCATTCCAGGAATTACTGCAGATTATATGGAGTTGCAGATTCTTTGAACAGTAACCATCACTCAAACCTGAATACCTTCCTAATCAATTGTTTAGTCCGAAGAGAAGCCGGCAGGCCAAAAAAAAAATGAATTCTTTCACATCATCGTCGAGCCGAACTAGCCGGCAAAAACAGGGACTGCAATTCGACTAGTCCTCTAGGATTAAGAACCGTGAGCAGATCCATCTTCCGAGTTCAGTAGTAACCATGAACTATACAAGGAAATACGGAATTCGGTTGTTTGAGAGCTTCTTTACCTGCAAATCCTCGACCTGGCTACGTAGACTGAAATTCTTGTGCACCACCGAACTGAAAGCCGTCAACGCAATCTGCAACACCACACGGTCCTTCGATTAGAAACAGAGAACAAGAAAAAAAAAAAGCTAACTACTTCAGCGCCAGCGCGCGCGCAAAGGAGACGCACCGCCACTAGAAAAGCCATCCGCCACCGAAGCCTGAGCCTGAGCCTCCCCCGCAAGTCCCCGATCCCTTTGCCACGCGACGGAACTCTCTCCGCGGGGGCCTCCGGCTTCCGATCAGAACCGGCGCCCCAACCGGCGCCGCCGTCCCTGCTTGAGGCCGCCTTCCTCTCGCCGCCCGCCGGCGACGTCTCCGGTCGGAGAGCGGGGCCGCCGAGCCTCCGGCGGGCTCCGGCATACCTGGCCTCGCGGTACGGAGCGGAGCTGACCGGAGGAGCGGAGCGGAAGGAGTGCGGCGGCGGTTTGGGAGGAGGCTTCGAGTCGAGGGAAAAGGAGGAGGAGTAGGACCGTGGGTTGGTGGAGAACCGGCGGGGGTATTTCGGGGTTTTCGCCGCGGAGGCGGCGGAGGAGGAGGGGTGGACGCAGTACGGGGAAGGGGAAGGGAAGAACCAGTCCCGGCCGAAGGAAGCGGACGACGACGACGACGCGTCGGGGTCGGCGTGGGACATTTTGGGGATTTCGGGGGATTGCGGAGGGCAATTTCGGGAGCAAACGGAAACCGAATCGAGAGCAACGAGGGAGAGCGTTTGTTTACATAGTTCACTTCTTAAGCGGCAAAGGCAAGGTTTAATTAAAGGGAGCAGGAGAGACATATGATTAGTTACATTGATTAGCATAAGCACATTAAATTAATCGGGTTTTGATGTAGACATTGTTTTTTCCTTCCGTTGACCTTGGCCTTCCATAGAGGATTGATAAACAATACATATACATCACCGCCTGCCGAGATTAACGAATAGATTGAATGCCCGTGTTATGAACCTATCTCGCAAAATGAATTTGATAATTCGACCAGGAAACGAACTGGTCGCACTAACCTTTGAAAAGGGTTTGAGGTTATTAACGTGAAATTGCGAATGCATCCGATCTGCCCGATAATGCGTTACCGAGAAATGAATATCGCATCAAAAAGGAGATTTTTTTCATTTCTTTATAAGTAAGTGTTGAAACTGATAAGCACGTGCAGAAGTCGACTCCCTTCTTAAATTTTTTTCAAGTAGTTATAGCAAAATTCATGATGTGGATGAGTTAATGATTGTGCCAGAAAGAAGCTGATCACCCACCTAGTCTATAAGACAGTTAAATGCATAAATTTAGAAAGATTTTCATTCAAAAAGCAGCAACACCAACTTCATGAATAAAAACAAAGTGACATTGAGGAGCACACAAGAACTTTAGATAAGCAAGGCTTTTGAAGTCATGGGACTGCAATCCAAGAGATAACAAAGAAAAGGACACCAGAAGCCCGATAAGGCCCAACTACAACCCAAGTAAGCCCATCAATTCACTCCCATAGTAAGCCCATGACCCATGTTTTAGCCCTTCAATGGCAAAGGCCCACAACAACCCAAAACACTTGAATTTCATTCACGATATATATGTATTTTAGACGAAGCTGATCATCTTTGACTCATTTAAATCCAAATTTTGGATTTTGGAACTTGGGGTTCACATCTAAGGGTTCTCTCATGCATCCTTGATCTCTGTCGTGGTGTTTCGTCGTGGCATTGAGCATATCGAGACTAACTTTCCTATTTATGAGAGAAAGAAAAGTTTTGTATATTCAGATTATCTCGTCGAAAGAGCAACTTTGTTAATGTTTCCAGAGCGGGCTTTTCTTTTTTGAGCTTTCAATCCAAGCTCTTGATTACATTCACCTCGGTTAGCAAGGCAGTGTCAATCATATCTTCATCCCAGGAAATACTATTGGTACTCATATTTGGTACTTGTAATCCAAAGAGAACCATATTTAGGATTAAGTTGGTTTAACATCCGTTTGTAATTTTTTTTATCTTTTTTTTCAGAATTAGTAATCGACTACTGTTATAGCTTTTACCCTTATTTATTGTCATGAACAACAAGTGAAGATCTTCAAACATTAGAGTTCAAGCATAATTCTATTGTTCCATGTCAAAAAAATAAGCGTTTCTTTTACCATGCCAGTTAATTTTAATAATAGTTGGTATGTGTCAATCGATGACTAATTTTTTTTCGTTTCAAAATTTGTTAGTAACTTACCAACATTGTTATAAAATTATTAAATATCGGTATAGTTTGCAAATTACAAATTCTTATACTAGCTGACTAATTTTTATTTGTGTAACTTATTAACTTTTCGAATTTACTATCTCTTTTATGAAATCATCAATCTAAATTAGAGTGACTTGTCAATTTTTGTCCGATTAAATTACCAACAAATTTTGAGTTACTTACCAGCTCTCATTTAAGTTGCTTATAAACGTTTATAATATATTTTTTATTTTACAAACTTTTCTTAAAGTTGCCACTTTCATTTGCCTTAGCTAGCAACCCTTTACATTTATCAACTTTTTTTAGAGATTACCAACCTAAATTATCGAGACTCGCCAACTTTTCTCCCATTAAACTACCACCTAATATGAGGTTACCAACTCTTATTTAAGTTACTTATTAACATTTTATTGATTTTTTTAATGGGCTTTTGTACGGTACACGAAATGTGTCTTTACACAAGCGAGCTTGAGTAACACCTACGTTTACTAACTTGCCGACATCTCTTACTGTTAACAGACTTTTTATTTGTCTATCTTAGCAACATCTATGTTTAGGACCTAAGTATATCCTTAAACTTCTTCATCTCGGCCCTCTTCTAGAACTCGGGATCCCTAGGATGTAAACCAAGGAGAGTATATTCCCCCTCTCTAGGGAAGACAAAGCTACATGAGGAATTGGGGGTGCGAGGCATGCGGGCACTAGCACGTTAAAATAAAAAACGCATTTGTAGAGCCCACCCACAAGATGGAGATAGGCCGCGGAGGCCCTTGTAGAAGCGAAAGCTCCCCTCATTTGATGAGGTTGCCTCTTAACCAAACACCAAGGATCTAAGAAAAATCCCTGATTAAGAATTAACAATCTTAATTAGAGTGGCTTAGCAGCACCTATGTTGACCAACTCTTTTCGGAGTCACCTGCTTATTTTGGTTATCAACGCTTATTTGAGGTATTTACCAAGTTTAATAATAATAATCAATTTTCTAATATTTTATGAATTTTTATTTTACCTTTCTTAACTACGCCTTAAATTTAATAATTTTTATATGAAATTACTAACTTTAGTTTAAGTGAATCATCAACTTTTTCTTATTAAGTTATTAATTAGTTACATGCTACCAACTGTCATTTGAGTTAGTTAGTGATGTTTATTTCTTTTGTTTTAGTTTGCCAACTTTTATAATCAGGTTACTTAACCAGGAAAAGAGTTGGTAGGCCACTTAAATAAACTTTGGTAATTTCATATCAATAGTCGGTAAATGTAAGATGTTTGTCACAGAATAACTAAAAGTTGGTAAAAGATAAGAGATGTTGGTAATCTAGTGCACTAGATAAACTTAGGCACCTAACTCAAATAAGAACTGATATAGCAAAACTAGTTTAGAAAGGGCTCAATAAGCAAAGTATGTAAAAGTGGCAACTCCAAACTAAAGTTGGTAAATTAAATAAAAAACCAAATAAACATTATTAAGTATTTCAAATGAGAGTTGGTAATCCAAAACTAATAGATAACTCAATGGAAGAAAAATTGGTAAGTCAGCTAAAAAAGGATAATAATGCCATATAATAGTTGGTGAATTTAAGGCATTGGTAAGAAAGGTAGTTCAATAAGGTAAAAGATGAAGTTGTTTTGTGTAAGAGATGAAGAGAAGTTGTAAATGTGGGTAATTAATAAAATAACGTCAGTTACTCAAATAAAAGTAGGTAATGCTGAATTAAATGATAATTTCATCGAAAAAAAGTTGATAAATCACTTCATTAAGGGTTGTAAATTTTAAAAAAATGGAAAATTAAAAACGTTGGTATGTAAGGCAAATAAAAGTCGGTAAACCATAAGAAAAATTGGTATATTAAAATAACCAGAAAACGTTGGTAAATTATTCTAATGTGAATAGGTAACCAAAACTAGCTAGTTGGTAACTTGCCCTAAATATTTGGTAAATTTAAGGCATTAGTATGAATGGTAAATAAAAGTTGGTAAGAGGTAAAATTAGTATTTCTTTACTAAGTAATAAGAAAAGTTGGTTATTCGATACAAATTATGAACATTAGTATTTTACTCAAATAAGAATTGGTAACGCAACAATAATTGGTATTTTATTTAGATAAAAGTTAATTTTCACTCTAATTGAGGTTAGTAAAATTCTAAAAGAGTTGGTAAATTTGTAAAGTTGGTAAGTAAGGAAAATAAGAATTGTAAACGAGAAGAAAAATTGGTAAATGAGAAAAAAAAACCCCACATAAACGTTAGGAAGTAACTGAAGCAGGTGACGAAGCAAATTGGTAATTTAATCAGAGAAAAGTTAGTGACTCGGTCAAAACAAATTTGTAAGCTCATATGATATTTGGTAAATTTAAGAAGTCGGTAATAAATGTACATAAAAGATAGTAAAAGATAAAAAGAGTTTCTTTTTTGTTAGAGATAAGAGAATATTATTTGTCAAAGATAATAAAAATTGGTAACTAACTCAACTAGGAGCTGGAAAAGTAAAACTAGTTGGGTAACTTAACTGGTGAATAGTTGGTAATTACTATAAATAACATTGGTAATGTCTAAAAATAGTTAGTAAATGTGACGATTGGCAAGCAAGGCAAATAAAAATCAGTTTATGAAAGTTGATAGATTTACAAGAAACATGGTAAGCAACTCAAAGAAGAGTCCAAACCAAAACTAGAGGGTAACCTAATGGGAGAAAAGTCAATATGTCACACGAATAAAGTTGGTAAGTTCATATAAGATTATTAAATTTAAGTGGCTTGTAAATTTGATAGAAAAGTTTGTAAATAATAACAAAATTTAATAAATTAAAAACAATGAACATAAATAAGTCACAAGAGAATTGGTAAGTCAAAAGTAGTTGATTATTTAATGAGACAAAGTTGCTAAGTTGCTCAAATAACAAATTGGCAAGTTCATATAAAAGTTGGTAAATGTAAGACGTTAGTAAAAAAAGGCAAATAAGTTGGTAAAAGATATAAAAAAAACGAAGTTAATAATGTACAAAATGTCAACAAGAGTCGATCATTGCTTATAAAAATAAATAAATGAAAAATATTTTCATCATCCACGAAATATTTAGGTATAAATTGTCATCGATAATGAAAACATCTTCTGTTAACTAATTTTTCTAAGCTATATAACCAATTATTTTTTGAAAAATATTTTTCAAGTTTTGAATTTTTTGTGATACAGACGCACCCTATAATTAAATTCATCCCAATCCTATCATTTCGTGGTAACTTCCACCTAGCCACTACAGAAAAAATATGCATACCAGCCTGAAGCAACATTGTCTTAATGCAAACTACTCTATGTGCGGTTGAAAGGGACGGAGCTAGGGGTGAGCAATGGTCCAGGGTTGACCCTGGACCAACCATGGACCGGCCCAACCCGGCCGGTCCTGGTCCGGTTCCCAAGGGGATTGGGTCGGTCCTTGGTTTTGAGACATTTGGACCCTGCACTGTGCGGGTTAGTCCTCGATCCTGGGAATTTAGGGTTGGTCCAATCCGGACCAACCCTGTATATATATAAATAAAAATATATTTATTTGTTTTCCAAAGAACCTAAGGCCTCTCCCTCCTCTTCTTCCGGCATTGAAAATAGAAACCCTATTGACTATTGAGTGTCGCCTCTCTTCTTCCCTCGCTTCTCTATGGCTGTTCGCTAGATCTACCTCTCCTCGCTCACCTCATGAACCAGCTTGCCTCTCTTGGCCCGCCTCGGCCCCTCACAAACGGTAAACGCAGGTCGCTTCACTTGGCTCTCCTCGAAGTCTCATGAACAAGATATGAAGTTGTTTGTTTTGTTTTCAAGTGTTCAGAAATTGAAGCAATCTTTTGAGAATGAACAAGATATGAAATTGTATAATTCACGGTTTATGTTATGTATTTTGACCATTTTATTTTTTAATTTTATTTCACGTGTTCGTATATTACTAAGTGGAGATTTTTTTTTTTTTGGTAATCGAGGTGTCCGGGCCAGTTTGCGCGCACCTCGACTATTCCTCAGGGGAGACTAGCACAACAACTCTAAGTGGAGATTTTTGTTGTTGCGTTATCTTAGATTTTTATTTGATTTGTACCGGGGTCCATAGTTTGGTTATTCAATATTGCATCGTCGATGGATAAGTATTTTCAAAGTGTATCATTTGTCCTTTGAACAAACAAAAAAAAATGAAACATAAAAAAAAATCGATTGGTCCCGGATTGACCCTGGAACCAAACCGGACCCATAGGGTCGTTTCAGTCCTCGATCCCAAAAATTGGGGATAAACACTGTGCAGGTTGGTCCCAGGATTAGGTGTTGGACCAGCTCAATTCGGACCATGCTCACTCCTAGACGGAGCATAACGAAGACGTCTTGGAAAAAGAGGTGAAAATAATTATTTATTGTGGTGGAGTTAGTTAGCTCTTGTCAGCTTGTTTCTGCTTGTGTGCAAAGAAGATGATGCAAGCAATTCCATCATTCACTGTGTGGACTCCAACCATGCAAAGCATAATCCCTGTTTAGCCTTCATAAAGTTCATTTTTTTTTTCTTTTTCTAGCGAAAAAGAAAAGTTCATTTTTCTTAATAAGAAAAGTTCATTTTTCTTAATATGAAAAGGCAATATCGAAAGCGTTACTTTCAGTTTCAGCCTTTGACTGACCACATCTGCCTTCAAATTTCCACCAAGGAAATGTTAGTCTAAGGAAAAGAAGGAGAGGAAGATATTGTTAATTAGATAAGCCGGTGAAAGGAATATCTGCTTGTGGGTATTCATTAGGTATGGTTTGGGGTTGAATAAAGAATTTCCACATGCATTATCAAGACTTGACAATGTGTAACTTTTCATTGTTGGCTGCATATGCATATGCATCTGTATCCTGATATGCGATGAACTTGAGAATTTTATGAGCTCCACAAGCCTACCATTGTAAATCGGTTCGACTATGTTGGTGGATATTCTACAAAGTTTGAACTATGTCATATACGAGTAAAATCTGTCTAGCTACATAGAACTTTTGAAAAATTTGTGAAGGTCTAATCCAATACTTGTGTATCAAACTCATTTCCCCCGGAAAAATGATCACGGCACGATCAAATTTTACATACCCTGATGGGGGTTTCGTAACACTTCAAGTGATGAATTAGGGTTTCCGGATTGCTTATCAGGCATTAAAATTGCGTAGGGCCTCTTGATTCGATCATTAATTTATTAGATCTTATAAGCAAGAGATTTTTGAAACCTGGGTCTAAGCAAAACGTACGTTCGACCCTAATATATGTGTGTGTATGTGTCTGTATTGATGGTGGAATTATTATGCGTGTAATGGGAAACAAAAAAGAATTCAGTGGGAGTCTTTGAAGTATTGCATCGATCCCTGCTTTTGGTCAAGGTGCGCCTACCTTTTGCTTTATGAATTTTAATAAACAACATGAAATTGTTTTGAGAGATCTAAGGTCTATATGCCTAGAGCTAGTGAGTATAAATTAAGAATAGAGGCTAGCTTTGTTCACACTGTTTTACTGTATCTAATGGAACAGTAAACGACAGATTCAAAGAAAACCGACCAGTGTAAAAGATCACTCATTTGCTCCACAAACAATCCAACCTATTGACAATTTGGCCTAACCAAATGAAAAAGGAACTCTTTAAGCACATGTGGAGCAGTTTCTATATCAACCTAAACCTGCGTTCAAGATTCTGTCATGAAATGACCGGTTTACCATCTCACAGAATTACAATAATGTAGAGGAGCCATGATGAAGATATAGAAGGCAAAAGGTTGGATAGACCCACGGACCTTTCATTGAAAAGCCAACACGTGGTAGTTGTGTCTGTATGCATAGTAGACGTGTCCAGTGGGTTGGTCAGGTCGGGTTTGGGTCGGGTTATAAATAGTTCAACCCAAATTCACTCATTAACCCGTTTATGATCCATTTATTGGTCGTAGAGGTGAGCAGTTCCAAGTTCTGTATATGTTTCACAGGAAACCTATAACTTACCCATTGGAACAGATTGCTCATTTTTTGAAACTTGAAACCTACTCTACATACCATGGAATCTGGAACCTATAGATTTCAGAGTTTATATAGTTTTCACATGTATTATTAATTGAACAATTACAGTGAATCATTACCTTTAATGACTATTACTTGCTATTACAATCCACTGACTACAACTTATATTTAGACACACGAAGAATATGAAACATTAACGAAGTAAAAGTCTCAGTCATGAAATAGAAGCTCAGATTAATGGTTTCGATTATATACTCATTAGCGGATGCCATGGAATATCACAGGATCACGCGAAGACATAGACCAAGAAAAATATAAAAACTTATTTCAAGTTCCAAATTCTACCTACCTAGAATCTGGAACCTACCCATTGAAATAGGTTTTCCTTTTTTTGGAACCTGAAACCTACCATATACACCCTAAAACCTGGAACCGAATAGGTCCCACCGGTTTGGTTCTCCGGTTCGAGGTTCTATCCTAGAGTCATGCTCACCCCTAGTGCGTAGCACCACCACCACTGGCGACAACTCACCACCACCATCTCACCATTTAGCCACTAAACCCACCGCCTCTCTTTGTTTATGACATCATCTCAAATATATTTGAGGCATTGAAAACTATCTAGCAGTTGTGGACCTTGGTTATTAGGTCGTCAGCCTCAAATATGAGGTAAGCGACTTCGATTTGGAATCAAGAGTTGAGAGAGAGAGAGAGAGAGAGAGAGAGAGAGAGAGAGAGAGAGAGAGAGAGAGAGAGAGAGAGAGAGAGAGAGAGCTTGGTGAGCGAAGGAGTGCCGGTGGTGGTGGCAACTAGAGTGGTAGCTGCAATCGGCGCCGGGGGGGCTTTTGTTGACACATATGGTGAATTTTTAACTTACTACTAGAGCTACAGCCTACCAAACTTTTTGCCAAAGACATGGTCCTCTGCATTTTAGGGGTACCTTAGTGCACCTGGTGCAGTTATGCCAAATTGACTGAGACATCCTCTAACCTCAACCATCTCTCCGCTCTTTCTCTCTCTCTCTGCCAGAGACAGGACTGTCCTTGCCCGTTTCCATGGACCCTCGCTCATCATGCCTTGCCCTATTCAACCACGTTTCCCGTGGACAACATCCATGTGAAAGGGTTTGCCATGCATTGTCAGCCATCGATTCTAATGAGCACTTAATTTCTGATTATATTCTTCTTATTCTGGTCGTCTGATATACGCAAATCCTATTATGAATCGGTGTAGATCGGTTCCTGGTAACAATACTTCAGTTGATCCTTCACTAAATATAAATAGAAGTAGCATCATGAAACAAATCGAACATCGTCGATGTGCCTTTACAGTCAGCCTCTTTAATTAAGTTATCATGTTAGGCACCTTCTTCCTTTTCTTTTGTTTTTTTAAGGGTTCGAATTAGTTGATTAAGGTAAGGCCATTCTTGTAAATCTAGCGAGATTCTTCCGCTAATGCACCCAAAGTCCAACCGGTTACCCATGTTCCTTCACTGAAATTCTGGGGCCAGGAACGAGGGGACCCGTCATGCCAGCAACAGTTCAAATTAGTAATTGGAAGAAATGGATTAATTAGTCGAGGTATGCTTGGGATGCGGGGTTCAGGCGTGTCCTAATTAAATACTTAAATGGACCGGCTCCTTCGCACCGTCTACTAGAAGGGGGGGCAAAGTCCTCTCAAAAGTCCTAAAGGCACGTTCCATTGGGTCATTTATTTACTTCAAAAGCAAGGCCAACTCATGGCAACTTGCCAATTGTTTTTCCTGAGGGCTTAATGACTTTGCTCACATCTTCCCTCTCTCTCTCTCTCTATATATCGATGGTGGGCGACGAGCGACCGCAATGTGGCCGTGCATGGACATGTTCACTGCTTCTCATACCCAGATGGAACCGAGGGAACAAGAGCCCTCTCTCTCTCCTGCTCTCTCCATTGGCATTAGGTACCTACCACCTCTTCTAAACCATCCCTCTTTCTCTAACTTGATTCATCTTGCCCGAGCTTCCCACGAAATACCATTTTGATCATCTAGAAAGAGCTGAACCCTAGCTAGCTTAGCACATCCAGTCCAATCAAGACCCTTTGCATCATAACGACGTTTTGCTTTTTCTTTTTCGTTCATCTTTTTCCTTCCATGTACTTTGCACACGCGCATGCGATATATATCACAGAGATGTATATGTCATGTGAAAAGAAACGACTTGACTCTCCCTCTCTCATGTCATGTGAAAAGAAACGACTTGACTTGACTCTCTCTCTCTCTCTCTCTCTCTCTCTCTCTCTCTCTCTCTCTCTCTCTCTCTCTCTCTCTCTCTTTAGTCTCTATATATCTCGCCTTTTTGTGTGGGGTCGATAGCTCAGGAAAGGATGGTGCAATTGAGCAGGTGGTGGTCCAAAGAGACAGTGGCGGTGGTGACCGGAGCGAACAAAGGGATCGGGTTCGCGGTGGTCAAGAAGCTGGCTCAACTGGGTCTCACCGTCATCCTCACGGCCAGAGATGCCGAGAGAGGACGCCAAGCGGCCGAGTCCCTCCGAGCTCAGGGCCTAATCGACGTCCACTTCTCTGTCCTCGATGTCTCCGACCCTCTCTCCATCGACGCCTTCGTCTCTTGGTTCAGGCACCAGTTCGCGGCCCTAGACATTCTCGTGAGTCTGCTCGTCTTTTTCTTCTCTGTTTTCAATTATGTGCAGTGCATCTGTGGTCATTTATAACAACTTATATTATATATAACATGCATGTACATGCGATATAAATAATCCCGCATGAGTCAGATAATGTGTCCAACACTGCATTCGCTGGACAGAGGCTGGACCGGCCTCCCCATCTCTCTCTCTCTCTCTGATCAATTATGATAAACTATAAGTCCTTTTTTCGCTTTGGACATTGGTTAATCCAAAGAAAGAAGGTGAATAAAACAGTGACATGCACTGTATTATTGTGCTTAAAGTAGAATCATATGCATGCATTGCACATATTTGTTCAATTCAAAGAAGGTTTCATTAAGAAAGATAGCACGTGCTGCTGGTGCTTCTCTTGTTTTTTTTCAAATAGAATCATAGAGATCTTCTGCATATCACAGTTGACCAGGAAGAGCTCCATTTTCCAGATCATTTGCACTGACCAAAGTTTATCTTTATTGGAGAAACAAAACTTCCTTGAAACGTGGGCTACTTTATCACTGTTGGAGACAATTAGGGATTTCTTAGGATAATTTCCTACATTATAGATATTTCCTAAAGATATTTAAGATATTTTTTCTGATTTTTCATATCTCGTTTAATTATGCATATCTAATTTAATTTTTTTTGGATAGTCATCTAACAAGAGATTTCTGAATTAGGGATTTCTCTAACAATGATGATGTTGAATGCTTAGAGTGAAATTTGCATAAGGTTATTTTGTATTTTGGTGAAGCAAAACCTTGTTGGCTTTTTTCAATCAGACCAACCACTAGAAAGTACCTATATTTTTATATAGTAGTTACGCGACTAATTTAGAGTCTGTATAGTTCAACTTTTTCATGATAATTTCAAACGTAAAAAAGGGTGCTGGAGCTTTTAAAAGTGTTTTGCAGACAACTCAACAAATACAACACCTCCAAAGTTACAATAGCTTCTTAGAAACTGCTTTATTAAATTTTGAAGTACTGCAACCCCAAAACATGTACTACCAAACATGTAACTTATGGCGCTTATTACAACATATCACAAATATGACTCAATTATAATCACACCAAAGAGCTCTTAATGACTTTTTAAACATGACAATCAGCTGATAAAATTTTTATGTACCAATAGCTCTTCACCTTTTAAGAAACTGCAATAGACTTCTTTCCTTGAGAATTTCCACGGATAAGTCAATAGTGGGTAAACTTTTGATTGATATTTAGTGTTACCAATAGTAGGTGTAAGAAAGCTTAGTCTTCCCGTATATACCAAAGTAAATTATTTCTCAACTTGGAATTATGCAGTCACCATGCCCCCTTTTTCACAATTGGGAGCACCATCATTACAAGATGTAGCTTGCATACTGGAATTGAAGTTAAAAAATACTTCTTTATACTTTGGAGTTGCCAAAAAATTTGAAAATTTTGGTAGGGCAAAAGTTGAGGGATACATATACTAGTAACTTTTCTCTCCAAAATTAGGGCATAAGAGTAATTATGTATTGAATGTAATCCATAAACAAACATGAGATATTTTTAAAGGATTTTTTTAACAGGATGCATAACACATGCACTCTTGAATGGAAAACAAAAGGTTATCTATAATTCCAAAACGCTCTTGAAGAGGAGAAGTATCATAAATTCATAATTTGATGTTTACTATGGTTTAATAAGAATGTTCTTTATTATTATCAATTCGTGGTACTTCGGTCTTTCTCCCTGAAGGTTCCTCTAGTAGGCTTAGAAGTTTGCCTCGGGACATACTGGCCACATTCCCAAGGCTAGTCGTTCGCCTCCCACCTTCAGTAAGGCCACCCTCCTGAGGGCTAGAGTCTTGTTCTATCTAATAAGGCCACCATCCCGAGGGCTAGAATCTCGGCCACCGCCGCCGCCACCGATGGAATTGGCCTCTTTTTTCTCCTTGGTAGGGCTAGAGTCTCGGTCACCGCTACCGTTCAACCATCTAGCCGTCCACATTCCCGCCCCTCGGTTGGAGGGCCTTCTTCCTTTTATCTCGGTCGGTATCCTCTTCTCTGAGTTATCTCCCCCGCTGCTGCCACCGCTCGTCCCACCTCACCGGAGAAAATAAGTGAAGATAGAACGAAACGCTGGCCGATTCCCGCTGCCGACCGGTTTGGCCTTGTCTTTCTCCTTGGTGGCTAACCTTCTGGCCACATTCCCTTGTTGCAGAGGTTTCTTCATTTCTCATTCTATCTTCGTCTGCGGCTGACGAGGGATTTCTGAGTCTTTTCCGCCAGCGCGGCCGCGTTTTTGATCTATAATTATATATTCGTCAGTGTAACATGGACGTCATCAAATATAAAACTTTGCATGACTTATATAAGTCTTCGAAATAGTGTTATCCAACCAAACTGTAATAGATCTACTTTCAAACCCGCGCAGCGCACGAGATTTCAACTTGTAAAGATACGTTGTTGATACCATTCATCTAAGTTCCTCATATTTATGTCCTAACATTTGATTTCTTGACTAATCTCCTTCATTCAGGTTAATAATGCTGCTGTCTCCTTCAACGACATACATGAAAATTCAGTGGATAATGCCGAAATTGTGGTCAAGACCAATTTTTACGGCTCAAAGTTGCTAACCGAAGCTCTCTTGCCCATGTTTCGCCGTTCGCCATCTATCGGTCGGATACTAAATGTTAGCTCTCGACTCGGTGCAGTCAATGTAAGTGACCCGATGAAGCATGAATTACTTAACATCAACTTAATTTATATTGGCAATTGTTTAAATTAGTTAGACAAGATCTTGATTAACTCAATGGTTATTAGCGCAGGCGCAGAAATAAGTGGTCGAATATCTTCCTTAATGAACTCTTTTGTGCTATGAGCTTGGAATAGCATTGAAACTGAATCGCATATGCAATCTATTTACAGTTAATGAAGAAGAGATAGCTCAATCATGCTTTCATACGCTAGCTCGAACAATATAAATAGTCTGCCACAAAGACTCAGCTCAAAATGGAGCTACTCTTATTTTCTCATGCTATCTACATATGGAGAAAGACTAGCAGTTCGTAATACAGTCAATGTTTCCATGCATGCAGAAAGTGAGAAACCCTAACATCAGAAGGATGTTACAAGGAGAGAACCTAACGGAGAAGCAAATAATGGCCATGGCTTGGTCCTTCCTAGAAGATGTGAGGAGAGGGACATGGAAGAGCCAAGGCTGGCCCGAAGTGTGGCCGGATTACGCAGTGTCAAAGCTTGCACTGAATGCGTACACAAAGGTCTTGGCGACCCGCTATGACGGATGTGGTTTGAGCGTGAACTGCTTTTGTCCTGGCTTCACGCAGACATCGATGACCGGTGGTAAGGGAACTCGAACCGCCGATGAGGCTGCGGAGGTTGGTGCCATGATAGTGTTGCTACCGGCCGAGAACCTGCAAACTGGGAAGTTTTTTATGGGATGCAACCCCGTCATAAATTCGAAGTTATAGAATGAACGAGCTCTCATGTTGATTCAAGATTAGATCGTCAGTTTTAATCAACTAAAAGTTATCGATATAGAGCGAAGCTCAACCTTGTCTTTAAAAGAACCAAAACTAGCTCCACGCTAGACAAAGCAACGAGAGACAATGGCAAGCATCGAGGCAAAGAAAGAGTGGAGAGAGATGCCGTTAGGGATCGGGTTGACTGAATGTACTTTTTCCAAGTGAAATTTATGTATGAACGAGCCAACATTAATAGACAATGGGCCGTTTGGTTCAACTTTGAAAAGGGACTTTTGGAGAATGTAAATACCTTTTAAGTTAAAACCTATTGAGAAAATATAAATGGCGTTTGGTAAAACAAAATTTGTAAAGCTACTTTGGCCCAACTAGTGTTTGGCTAATTTATTTTTGCAAAGGGCTTTGAGATCCTTTTTTATTAAAAAAAAAAGTTACCCTTCGCCGGCGCCGGCAAAGGGCTACGGCCGCCGGCGAGCCAGATCTGGCGCCGGCGGCCTTCGCCCTCGCGACCCAGGCAGCCGTTGCTAGGGGTCGCCCGACCTTAGGCGACAAGGCCTAAGGTCATGTGACCCAGGTGCCATCGCCTGGACTCGCGCGACCCCAGGCGACGGCCGCTTGAGGTCCCGCAACCTCAGGCGGCCATCGCCTGAGTCAAGCGACCTCGTCGGCCCCTCGCCGGCCCTTCACCGTCCAAATCTGGTGTCGTTGGACGCTCTTGCCGGCCACACTTTCGTGAAGAAAATGAACAGTAACAAGAGGGCAAAATCGAAATATTAAAATTTGAGTGAAGGTAGTTTGGGAAGGGAAATTTTTTTTTCAACATTTGTGGAATGCCGAAAGCCCAAAGCTGATCCAAATTCTAGCATTTGGCCAATGCTAAGCCCAAAGCTGAACCAAACGGGCCAACAACACAACCCTACTCAAAAGATATCGACATGCAACAAAATGGCCATGCGCAGGGAAAACTATTGCCTCCACCATGCTACTTGCTTCACAATAACCGCAGCTCTTGGACATGTTTCCTCCTCTTTTAAACAACGAAAAGTCAAAACATCTCAAGTTTACAGAAAATGGGGGGAAAAATTGCAGGTCTGATTCTTTAATCTCTTCAGACCTTAAAGAACATCATGTGGTCAACTCATCAAACAGCGGTATCGAAGGAAGAAAAACGTCCACCGTTTTATAAGATTACTTCAATTCAGTCAGTTATGGCAAGCGAAGACTTCAGTCTCGTCACTAAATGTGGCAGTGTGTTGATGCTGTCATCAATCGATCGCTCGACACAAGCCTCCAAATCTTTCATGGCGTCAGTCCTAATCTGTTGGAGCTTGGCTGCCTCAAACTTATCTTGGCACACCATTAAGGACCTATTCAGCCTTTCCTGCATCACACATAAAGACGCAATACTTTCAAATACGAAAAGGAAAACACTAATTCAAATGCACGTAGAAGAGACCTCACCATATGTGAGATACCCTTCTCATTTCCCAGGACATGCAAGGTACAAATTACGATGCAATCTCTTTGGAAAAGGTAAACTAGCGCAATTACAATGCAAGCTCTATGGAATTAAGCAGATTGTTTGATGATAATTCTTTTTTCTAACAGCAAGGTCCAATGCTTCCGTGAAGTCGAGGATACCAAATTCTTGGGACAAGGAGCAAAGTAGCACTAGATATTTGGTGATTTAAGTTATCCACAAGATGAGGATTCATATTGATAGGGCGAAAACCGATATTTAGCAAACTCAGCCTCTAGATCTGAGTCAAGCCCCATAACTTCCTTGCTCCCACCTGATCGGAGAGCATACAAGTCCAGTCCATTCCCTCTCAAACTTTAGCAATTGAGATTAAATCTTTAGCATATTGTTGATGATTCTCGACCTTAAATGTTCTATTGCTCCTCTCTAATTAGAGATCCCGCTATATGCCAGATCGAAACAACAAAAACCACAACACGCAGCATGCAGGTCAGTTTTTATCAGTGTAAAACAGCTCTCTCTGTTATTTCATCATGTAAATCTGTCTCATTTGGATATGTGAAAATGTAATAAGAAGCAACATGCCATGAGTTCATAAACTTTGATGAATGCAGAAAGCGATTCATGGTGCTTATGTTATCACTTGATCTGGACATCATGCAAAACTGATGATCAGAAACCGCCGAGACAAAAAAAAAATTTATATTTTTCAAGTCGCCTTGCCCGACAATCCAAAGACATGAAGCTTTTATGCAATTAACCCGAAAATTAATATTTCTTCAATCGCACAGAAAATCATAAAGATCCTTTTTTTTTTCCTTTTGCACTCATATTAGAGACACGCGAAAAGTTAATTCCAGTTGCACTAAAATGACCTCTTTCAGAAGATAGCAATTGCAACGCTTCAGTTATAATACCTCGAGCTATAAAATAAATCATCTCAGCCAAAACATTAAGCTACTCTCAAGTCATATAACGAAAAACACCCAAATCAAATAACATCATAAGAGCGAAAAATTAAAGGGAAAAAGGGAAAAAGCAACTGACTTGAAACTTGCCCATCTCGTTCTCGACTCGTTGCTGAGCACCGACAACCGGAACGCTGCAATTTTCCACACAGCTGCTAATCTCTTCCTGTCTCCTCCTTCTGTCGAAGCACTCGTACGCACATTTGAAGTACGCTTGCTGCACGCAATCGCGACCCAAATTCATCAAACGACAACAAGAATCACAGCCCAGATACACGAGATTCCTCCTGTCATACGAAATGGGCGAGCAAAACACCCTGAAAACCCATCTGACTACTGACCCACCACTCAAGAAAACCGATACCCAGAAAATAAAGTCCCAAGAAACACGGAAACAGAGGACGTAACGTGACGTAACGTAACGTACCTGAAGGGTGAAATTGACATGATCCTGGATACCGGAGAGATGGGCTTGGGCGGCGGCGTTGACTTCGCCGAGCTTGCGCCTGAGTCGGTCGGAAACCACCTGCTCCTCCGCCGCTGCAATATGGTCCATGTTTTTCAGGTGGGGGGTTTTTGAGGGGTTTTTGGGGGTGTTTGGCGTGCTTTGCTTCGGCTTCGGCTTCAGCAAACATTCGAGTCGAGACGTGATGTAGGACTGTATATATAATATAAGCCCTAGAGTCCATATGGGCTCGCTCGAGCCCATCTCTAGCCATACCCACGAAATACATTTCCGGGAAAATTGTTTAGAAAGACCTAAACCTACTGCAATTTTGTCAATTCAATTATAAACTTTTCAATTTTGCAAATTCAATCCTAAACCTTTCACTTTTTATCAATTGAGTCCTCACTTTTACGCTTCTTGCCAATTGAGTTCATCAGGCCAATTTTGGCTCGAAATCACTGATGTGGACTCCGGCTTACGTGGCTCTGACGTGGACAAATTTGATTAAATGTTAATATTTTCCATATTTATTTTTTTTTCTTTTCTCTTCTTTTTTCATTTTTTCTTTTTCATTTTTTTATCTTTTTATCCCTACCCATATTCCTCCTCCAGCCAGTCACTAAGCGTGAACAATTAACCATTGGCAAGGCTGACCTCGCCCAGCCATGGCCTCACCTTGCTAGGGGCTGGCGAGGTCGACCTCGCCAGCCCTCTCCTCTGGCAGATTGCCAATGCCCGACGATCAGCTGGAGGAGGAAGAAGAAGGGGAAGAGAAAAAAAAATGGAAAAATAATAGAAAAGAAAAAGAAAAAAATTCAAAAAATATTAAAATATTATTAAAAATTATCAATGTTAGCACCACGTAAGCCGGTTGACATCCATGTCAGCACTTTCTAGTCAAAATTAGCCGGATGGACTCAATTGGTAAGAAGTAAAAATGTTTAGAACTCAATTGGCAAATTGAAAGGTTTAAGACTGAATTGGCAAATATGCAATAAATTTATGACTTTTTGGACAATTTTCACCGCCTAAAATCAGCTGCCAAACCAAACTCTCTCCTGAAATGCAGCTATGATCTCGTTCCAGTGGAAGCCGTTCATCAATCGATGTCATCAACATCCTAGTCACATATTCAGCACCAGCTGTGCCAGAGCGCTCCCTAATCAACCTCTACTCTTCCTCTGGCAAAGTCTTCAGCTTCTTTCGTCATTCCACACCACAACACCCCCTTCTAGACATGGCCATGGTTCGGAACCGGCTGGTTCCGATTCGTGGCCATGTGTGAACCGGAACCGGTCAGTTCCAGTTCGTAATTTAAAAATTAAAAAAATAAATTATGCAATAAAAAAATTATGAATTATAAAATTATGAAATAATGAATTATTTAATATAAATTGTAATCAAAATGTAAATTATAGGGGTGATCGGTTCCCGATTCGATCCGGTTCCGATCGAAACCGGGAACCGAACCGGTAAGACCGGTCTCTTAATTTTAGAACTAAGAACCGGACCGGCAAATCATAGAACAGGGAACCGGACCAATGGTCCGGTTCAAGTCTAGGCGATCCAATGGAACCTTTTGCTCTTAATTAGCAAAGGATCGCAGTCACAAAAGGCATACAACTTCACATGCTTATGGCTTGGCTTGGGTTTTATACACAATCCCTTTGATGGTCTCTTCATTCCCACTCGATGTGGGACTCTTGGCATTTGCATGAAGACAAGCCAAGAGTCTCACATTGAAGGTGTTCAAGGCAAGCCGAGAGTCCCACATCGAATGGGAACGAAGAGGCATTAGAATCATTGTGTATAAAACCCAAGCTAAGTCTTGTAATTAGAGTTTAATACACCCAAGTCAAGCATTGTAATTAGAGATCAATGCACTTACAATGCATGGCAATTAGAGTTCAAATTGTTTTATAAAAAAAAATTAAATAATGAATTTTTTTTTAAAAAAATTTCATTATTATTTTTTTTAAAAAAAAAAATTGGAACCGGGTCCGTAGGCCACGGGCCGGTTCTGGCTCCGAACCGCAGGCCCGGGTTTGACCGGGCCGGTTCCGGCCCGGAACCGGCCCGTGGCCATGTCTAGCCCCTTCTGATCTTTAATACGACTCAAAACAGTTTCGGTGACTTCCGAATAAAATCCACTATATTGCGTGGCTTGGGTAAATCATTTTGTTTCCGTTATTGATCCAACGACCTTACGGGGATTATCATCTCGGGTTCTTTCTTCAACACTTCGATCAGAACCAACACCTTAGACACCGCTTTATGCTTCTCGGTAGCGATTTCAAGATCATGCACCCTCTTGTTCTTGCTCCTATCTCGCACACTCTTGCTGGTGGTCATGAATCTGAGCTGCAACCAGTTACGTAAAACCTCGGCCAAAACTCGAGTTTCTTCTCAGGGTAGGCGAACGCACTAGGGAGGTGACGATGCATCCAAACTCTCTCACCGAACTCCATTCGTTCGGGTAAGCTACGGTTTCAACAATGAATTGAAGACGGGTCATCTCAAGGTGCTAATGCCTTGCTACAAATTCAAGAAACAAGCCCAAGAAAAGCAAATGGCTCTCCCTCTGGACAGACTTCAAACAGCTTACGTGCAACAGAACGAGGAACAGCAAGACCCCAAAATGAAAATATACGACAAGATCGCCGTAAATGCATGATTGCCAGCATCAGTTTTGACTTCAATAGAAGCCAGTTGGATTTTAGGTGTGGCTTGTGGGAAGAATGAATGAAAAGAACAAGCAAGGCGCGTGCGAAGACGAGCGAACGGGCGATATAGACAATTAAAAACATCTTCTCACTATATATAAATCCAAAAAGTTACGTGAAAAGAACAAATTGTTTTAGGAAAATATATGCAAGAGATAATTAATTGTTTTAACTTTTAAGACTGATTTGCTTCTTTTGGCAAAATCTAGCCGGAATAATTAATTGAACTGGAGCAATATCAAAACTTCTTTGGTATGAGGGAGAAGGAAGCACTGCTGGAAGAGTTTAAAGATTTAAGAAGCCAGCTTCTGTTTTTCTATGGATTGTAGTATAAAAATTATCTGATGTCGAATTTTAACATGCGGCAGAAATGAGCTGTAGGGGCTGAGCAAGAAGCTCAAAACGCTTTCCAAGAGATGAATAAGTTGAAAAAAGAGCACCAAACTGAGATACAGACTGTAAAACCGCCTTCTAGCAGAATCTAGATTGCCTAACGAGGCATGCGGAGCTGCTGCTGCTGATTTCACCATGGCCAAATACAACGCGGTGAGCCCCAAAATGCAAATAACCGGCAGTGGAAGGAAGAGTTCAAAGAGTTCTACGACAGTGAAGGCGGTGAGTTGTCTTCACTTGTGGAGACTAAAAATCATGGTTGATGGTATACGATGGTTGCAATATATAGGGGAAAAAACCACAGTTGTCCTCCATCTCCTTTATCTACTGACCACTTCCCCTACCTTCCCCCCAAGCACCTTGGAAGGAAAAAAAAAAACATCAAATAGAAACCACTTAGCTTATATCTTAATTTATCAGGTCAGCGGTTTCCACGAGCAAAGTGAGGAAATAAGGTTCCTCCAAAACAGAAGCCTTATATCCAGCAGATTCCCATCTCTTGGAATGGAAGGATGTGATGTGAAACCTTTGTCTACAAGGACATAAACTTCCCACAACACAATGCTTCACCCATATGTTTCACCAATATGTTCGAGGGCATAATAAGAGAATAAATTGCTTTGAATACACAAAAGTAGAGAAAAACTATGACACGGTGCGAGATGAAATTTTCTGGGTGAATAGAACTAGAATGCTGCAAAATTTACAGCACTTTCTGTACTATAGTCGATTACTGATACATCTGTCAAGCTATTAGTTGGAAGTATAATACATAGAATACAACATGAGCGTCTAGACCAGTCAAACGGGAATGGATACAATGAATGTTACCTACTACAATGAATGTCACATTTGCCAAGATGCTCCCAATCCCCAACCTAAAAGACAAGGCTCCCCACCAATATAGAAGTTAAGGGAACAGTGAGATTGTCATCGAGCTCAGAGCTCAGAGGATGCGATTCCACCAGTGCACAAGCAAGAGAGACCATCAAGAAACCAGAAACCATCTCCCAACTTCCTTGGATATAACCAAATGAAGAAAAATAGGACAAAAACCTGAAAACAAAGTAAATTGTACCAGTCAGGCCACCACTAAAGCAGTTTTTAGTTTGCGGTCGATACAGAATCATGCTATATTCAACTGAAGATTACCCAAGAGATGCTACAAACCCAGCAGTGAACATTGCAATGCTACCAGCGAACGATTTATCACTGTTGTAAGGAATTTTATGACGGCCAAACCGCCTTCCAATAATGTCTGCAAAACCTGAAAACAAGCAAAACAGGCGTCTGAGCTTAAGCCTACCCTTTTTAATTATAGACGTTGGGGCGAATTATGTAAATCTTCAAAATAATTATTACATCTCCTGTCCAGGAAATGCAGTGAGGAAGAAGGAGGCCAACCAATACCGTGCCGCACACTTGATACCTCTGTATTACTTTAAGCCTTGACCAAGGATGATATCATCTATTGGATGATGGAGATATCTTCACACAGCTATCATTTTTTACATTACACACTAAAGTATTTCTCAAGTTTTAGGCAGGGCTGCAGGGGGCACATCCCATGACATTGAAGAAGTCCTCAGTATGTCCTCCCTTGAAGTTACTTTATCCAATATGCTGATATAACAAGCAAGAAAATATGGAATTTAGATTACTATACCATCTCCTGCGCAGAGGTTGCATATTGCAGCAATCGCAATTGGAGAAGTTCTCCAGTAATATGCACAAGCAAATGTAATAGTGGAAGCATAGAATAGTGGCCCTTTAAGAAGTTCCCTGAAAGAGATCAAGATGATTTCAGTTTCAGAAGTTGAACAAGGTTTCTTGGAGACAAAATAGAAGAGGAGAGCAACACAGCAGCAAGAATGAAAATCTGAAAAATCTGATGCCACGCTAGATTGAATCGCTTGACAGAGAAAATCACTTATCAAAATAACTAATTTCAGAATCACTGTTGTGATTATGATAATATAGGCAATGTAATCATATCATACAAAGTTCACTTCTCTTGTCAATGCAAGGCAGATAATAAATAACTCGAGTTACGAACCTGTGGTCCCCAAATCTGCTCATGGACTTCACCGTTGCCTCATCTTTCCAAATGCCAGATCCCACAAGAAGCATGCGTACGATGTTAAGCCCTGGAATTGTAGCAGCTAACAGTGCACCTTGATGCCCAGAACTGTAATGAAATAGCAATAGCCATTTCACCAAACAAATAAGCCAGTACAATTCTAAAATAGGTAATTTAGTCTAGAGATTACCTGAATAATGGCCAGCAAAGCATGAAAACTAATCCAATGCTTACATGCACAAGCTTCCTATTAAGTTTCTAAATGAGGGAAAAAAGCAAAGACATTTAGATGTAATGAACAGCATGAAAACAGCAATCACTCTACAACTTGCTATATCTACAGGGACTGCTTTCAGATATGAATAAAATTGGTCCCATTAGTGAAACGAAACATCCAAGCATCCTGACACAGCATCATCAGGACGAAAATCACTGAACACTCTTCCTTTTGTTTAAAAGGCAAGAAATTCCCATAGGAGGCGATACCCAAATCAATTACCTTCCTCAAAAAGTACATACATATATGCATACACATACACTCTTATGATTAATCAGGTCATCAAATTTTCTTAAAATCTTAAGATGTGAAAAGTTTATTATAAAAGTTTATGAGGACATACCGAAGTTTCATTGATCGTGTCATGAATGAAGGGGTTAATCTGTTTCTTTCTTACTAGTTCAAGTAATCTTTTCTGCAGGAATGGAATACTTAACGAAAGTCCCGACTTTTTTTCTCCCTCGAAAAGTGGAACTTACCTTTAACTTCATGAGATGTTCATTGGAATGTAACAATCCACATCAGTAATATTCCTTATAGTCATTTGCAACTACAATGGATAATAAGATAAAAATAGTATCTTTCACAAGTCCAATCCAAATTTTTGTTGGGCAATACATAGATTGATTCTTGAACAAGAACCACACGGCAAAATGAAGTTCTAAATGGGGCAAGAAGAATTGAGACTTGGCTTTAATACTGCGTGGTAACATCGAATCCAAAACATAAGCTACGGGGTGGTGGAAAGATGCTACATGCATGTAAGGCCCGAACACAACCGGCAGATAAGAGATGCGGTGTACACTACTGCAGACTTCATTCACAACAATTCAATGGAAGTCAGCGACAACAGACAAGGCAAACTATCGAAGTCGGAATCGCTTATAGCTATATATAAAAAGGAAAAGCTGCCAAACTCGATCTGAACATTCTCACAGGAGACTGACTGCTCTGTAGCTCTTACAATGGCTATAATCTCCTCTAATTTTCCTCTTTTTTTTTTAGCGCTAAACAGTTCTCTCTAATCGCACATCAGATTTGATTCCGCGGACCAGATGTGTAATTCGTCATCCCGACGAAGCCTGAAAGAATTACTAGTGTCAAACGCTGGCCCGTTGACTTCTCTGGAAACGAACCTCAGTTGCGAAACGCACACTCTGTTAAACCCACATTTGCACCCATTTTCCAAAGATTAAGAGCTCAAACCGCCTCCTTTATCGGGGGAAGCTAGGCGAGGCGACGATTGAGGAACACGCGAAGTGCGCACGCGCACGCAAGAGAAGCGAACGAACAACCAATACAGAGAGAGAGAGAGAGAGAGAGAGAGAGAGAGAGAGAGAGAGAGAGAGAGAGAGAGATCCCGTCCCAACCTGGTCAAAGAGGCCGCGCTTCGCCGTCTCTTCGAACAGCCGGAGGCTCGAGAGGGCGATGCCGCCGGACAGGGCGGCGGCGAGAGCATCGGAGACGAGCGGGTTCCCGTGGAGCATGGCGGCGGCGGGGGGCGCGGCCGGATTCCGGCGGGGCGGGGGCGGCGGCGGTGCCCCGGGGGCGGGGGCGGCCGGGGAGGATCGGAGGGCGCGGTGGCGGGGAGCGGGGAAGCCGAGGGTAGGGATCGGGGCGAGGATGGGGAGGAGATGCGAGCGGTGAGATCGGAGGGGTGGGTGGGCGATGGCGGTAAATTCGACGGATGCAGCAGCCGTCATTCCCCCTTCCCTTTTCTTTGCCAAATTCGGGGATGGATGAAGCGGAGGTCGTTGCCTTTGGGCATGGTGGACTTTTGACTTGGGCCTATTACTGCGCTTCTTTGTCGCTTCTCGACAGCTTTTTGCCGTCCGATGAACTTGGAGAATCAAACGTGTCTTAATTGCTCCATCACAAGTTCTAACACTTATCAAAAAAAAAAAAAATACAATTGAAATCTAAAATTTTTTAAAGATGTGATCAAATTTTAAAATTTGTCAAATTGATCAAATCAAGTTCTTGACAAGTTTCAAGACTTGACTATAGATTTTGAAAGTTTTAGGACTCGACTGCACTTTCGTGAGAAATTTTAAAACTTGATTGCATCTTTTCGAAAGTTTTTAGGATTCAGTTGCACTTTTATGACAAGTTTTAGGACTTGCAGTGCACGTATCCCTAATTACTATTACCATATCAAAACTTTAGCTGTGAATCGAGGCTCGCGCTATTTCCGCTCTTTATTGGCTCCTGATACTTCCTATCACGTTAGATTGCCTATATTAATCCTTGCGGGTCCCACTATTGATTTGAAATTATTTCCTACCTTTCTTTCTCCCTTTTCTTTATTATAGGCTCGCGCTATTTCCACTCTTGATTTAAGATTATTCTTATCTTCTTTTTGGTTTTTGTTCCTTTTCTTTCCCCATTTAGAACAAAATTGGTGTTCGTCTTTTTATAAAAAATAGTTCAGTTAGCATACAGCTAAGTAATTATCATGTTAACGAGTTGTATATTTCTCTCTTTTTTTTACTAGGAAAATATTATTCAAAAATAACATAAGCATAAGTAAGAGCGAAAAGGACAATATATCAATTTTGGTACGCATTTCGTTTAATTATAAGTTTAATATGTGTCATTATGTTGTAATCTATGTATTTTAACTGCTTAGCTTACATTTTATTCGGTGAATCTAATCGTTCGATTTTAATTTATTTTTCATGCTATTATTGCATGATGTTTTAAAAGATACTTTCAAAAAATTAAAAATATGACACAGTTAAGTACATGAAAAATTCTAAATATCCATTATTATCATGAAATGCAAAAAAAAATGCTTCCTAAAACATTATTACATAGAAATGGTATAATTAGTTGTTGACAAGAAATTATGGCAATTGTAATTGCATTATAAGACAACCCATTCAAGCCGTTTGCAAACACATATTTTTGTCGATTGTAAATGCATAGGAATTTTCATAGAACCAATAGTGAAAAGAAAATTATCCTCAAAGTGAATGTACTGCAATAATAACAAGTTGCCACTTAACAAAAATTATAATCCGTTCAATTGCTTGGCTCTACTCTTTAGAAAAAAAAAATAGTTTACCTGAATTAGACAATAAGGGATTTGACATCAATAAGAAAGTCATTATTTACTAAAACTAAATATATATCTAGGTGTAATTTTCAATGTCATAGTCCAAGAAGTTCCATCCTTAGAATAAATCTTTCAGGATGAATTGTTGCATGCTTAAATCCTCTGTGCCTATTATATTTCACAGCCATAAATTCCATCTGACATCTTTGCCTTTTGATTTACATGTTCGACTATTATGGCCATAAACCATACAAGTATCACATCTCTTCCCCTTTCAACAATCTCAAATGCAAAAGGATCATTAGTGTAATAATTGCTTCTGCTTTAGTTTTTGAATTGGAAGGACAATCTTTATGAGATGTAGCTCGAGGCTCATATAAGAAAAGATCACTTACTCGTACAAATTGCTCAATTTACTTTCGGATAACTTCCTTTTTTGAAAGTGGCCATTCTTGACACCTCTTTCCAACTCCTACAGTAGTTGCCGGAATAGATCTTCATTATTTTGGGTAATATCACAATCTAGAAAGCACCTTATATCAAGCCTCCATTGTTAATAAATTATATCTATAAGAAAACCTAAATCTTATTTCATGAGCGCATAAGGCCCATGGATTGCATAAAATGCCTGGTACAAATAGGTTGCCCAACTATACTTTTAGCAATCAGATATTGCTTGTAGAGCTTGTCTAAAGCAAATACTAACACCTGAATAATCAAGTTCCTGAAGAAAGAAATAGATAATGAAGAACTCTTACCTTTTCACTTGACAATTTGGTTTGGATTTCTTGAAACTGATTCTCAACTGCAAGGCATCTTTTCTTTTTCTCCTCGACTAAATTCCTCGTTGACACTTATAGATATGCTTTTAAAGTCGAATGTGCCATCCCTTAAAGTAATATGGTTCCTAATATGCATGTGCAAATCTATTCAAGCAGGCACAAAAAACTCTTTAAAAGGAACTCATGTATTTTTAAAGTTATTAAGAACTAATGGTTTTTCCTTCCAACAATCTTCAAATTGTCGAATATTTTGATCATATTCCACTTCACTCTTGGAGTTCAAAACCTTGGACCAAATAGGCATAAAAGAGTCCCAACCCGTTCCTTCTTCTATTGAAATTTACATTTTACCACATTATTCTTCTCAATCTGCCAAACACACAAGAAGTTCACGCTTCAAGGAAAAAATGAATCGAATTGCATTATCAATACCGACTCTCTATCAATGATGATGGCTGCAGGTTGACATTCAACACCCAATATGTTGCTAAACATGGTCAAAGCCCAAACATAAGCTTCCTTTTCTTCCTTTCTCAAAAATGCAAAACATGAGTAAAAAGGAATATTAAGGCTAGGAACTCAATAATATCCGACAAAGGCATTTTGTATCTATTAGTCTTGTAAGTACAATCCACTACAAAGACACTTGAGAAGTGTTTTGTTAGTGCCATGGGAATAGAATGAGAGAAAAATAAATGCATCAGGTAACCCTTGGCATCATGTTTAAAATTGTAGATGAATACACCAGAACTAAGCCCATCCAATAAAGCTTGGACCATAGTGCGACCATTTAGATATTCATGACAAATTTATCTTTCATGTTGTAAACAATTTTAGTAATAACTTGAACGTTGAAATTACATTGTCTCAAGGAAGAAAGAATTTGGCAAGGAGGTATATCGACTTTAGATATCTCTTTCACATGTGAAGCTTCCACTTTAGAAAAGCGATGACAAGTAGGATGTCCGAACATATCACGTGAAGGATCATGATTGTGTGATGCATTCGATATTTTGAGTGACCATGATTCGTTCTTCTCTTTTATAGGAGCGAACTTCAGAAGGACAATCAATCAAGCGAGATCTAGTCTTTCTTCTCTAATGTTTAATGTAAATATTATGTCCATCACGACAATTATCTCCCTTGTTACAACAAAGGAGAAAATATTTGTCCCTCTTGGATCTTTTTTCTAGAGAAAACATAACCTTGAGCAAAAAGACGCGTCTGCACACCGCACAAAAGATTCTCATGCGTTAGAAAATAACCTAATAAAGTTTCAAATATACCTATTGACATGATTGATTGATGTTCTTCATTTGCAGTTTGAGTATTTTTCAATAGGGTTATTATTACGAATAACTTCAAACTGATACACCTGTGACAAATTTACTAAAAATTAATTTTTTGACCATAAAAAACCCTAAAATATACCACTGGATTAATATCACGAAAAATCACAAATTGAAAAATCTGTGACAAATAGATGGGTAAAATTCTAAACTGGCACACTCGTCAACTGCCACGTGTCATCCAATTTAGCAATTTGACGGTAAAATTTAATGGAAACTAACGAAGGGTAAATTTGTTACAAGTGTACCAGTTTAGTGTTTTTTGTGATAAAAAAATTAGTTTGGGATAAATTTATCATTGGTGTACCTATTTTGGGTTTTTTTATGGTATTAACCCTTTTTACTATTGTCTTCCATAGTGACTCCACTACAAAAAACAAAACAGTGAAAGATGGGTAAATTATGTATAATGCATACATCAACCATAATATTCAATTTTTTAGGAAATTCTAGTAAATTTATATTGAAAGTCAAAGTTGAAATTTTTTTGATTATGAGGATAATCTAGGGAAATAAAGCAAATAATTTAAAACTAACATTTCTTTAACTTGATATATGATTAGTGCTTGCTAAGATTACAAGTCACAACAATGGAGAATAAGTACAGAAGAAGACTAACGTGAAGGAAACATTAAAATGTATTGGGGGTGAAAAAAAGCTATTTGAAATAGATGGTCGTTTTGTCTTTTAGTAAAATTGAAACAAAAGAAAAAGAAGAAAAAAAGTAAGAAACAATCTTAAATAAAGAGTGGGACCCACAAAGAATAATGTTGTATATTTAATACGACATGTAGGGTGCATTTGTTTCACAAAAAACTCAATAATAACGAAAAATGATTTCTCGGAAAGCATTTTTCATGAATATGGTTAGTTTTCCTTTGTTTGGTGATATATGATTGAAATTATTTTATGATGTTTGGATTTAATTGAAAAATGATTTCAATCTCTGAGACTGGCGACTAGTGGAGGGAAGAAAAAAGAAAAAGAAAAAGAAAGAAAAAAAAGCAAAAGAACGAAGAAAAGAAAAGAATAAAATATTAAAAAAGGTTAAGATGAACAATTCCGCAAAATGTTTTCACCTCCTCAGATTAAAGAATTTACTTCGATAATATTATACATGATGTTTTCCTTGATCGGAAAATGTTTTCCGTTGCCTTATCATTTTTTACGAAACAAACGGGTGAAAGTCCGGAAAACAAATTTTCGAAAAATACTTTTCCTCAAACAAACGCACCTGTAGTGTTAGGAGCCAATTAAGGGTGGAAATAGTGCGTGCTTTTTTTAAAATTTAAAATAACTTAAATAGTTTATATGGAAAAGTTAAAGGATAACTCTTTAACGAGGAAAAATGGGCATATCATATAGCTCTCATTCCCTGTTATTTCACTAGTATAGTCGCCTATATTACGATTGACATAATGATAAAAGAGTCGTCTATTATTATTAACAAGATCATGAATCCGATTCACGCTGTGAGCCAAGATTTCTCGATGTGTATTATCACTACCATTAACGAGATCACGATGCAATCTATTATTGCGAATTAGACAGGAGGGTCATCTATTATTAACGAGATCGCGAGTTGAATTCACGTTCCAGGTAAAGATTTATTCACTGATAAGTCTTTAGTGGGGCTGCGATTACGGATTTGCCTATATAAGATCTTTATGATAGATCTTGATAGGCTGCCGTGAACTGGTAAGCCTAGACGAGACCTTTCTGATAAGTCCTAACGCGGGTCGCCCTTGTCACACTTTCACTAAAAAAGAAAAAGAAACAGAATTCACTCTCTCAATCAAGAGACATGTTAATCATTTTTTATAAAAGAAAAAACGAGAGAAGACTCGCCTACCTAAGTACCTATCTGCGAAGACTTTGGAATGCAGAAGTTGTGGAGGTAGGAAATTAGAACAGCGCCACCAACCAGTGGCGGCTTGCCACCTTCTTCTCCTTCTCCTTCAAAGGTGCGAACTTTACCACAAAGTCGAAGACGAAAGGGAGACGATGACGAAGGAATCACGCTCGCATTCGCAATCCCCGCACATTTGCGATCAGATCCCACATCTCCTCTCTTCCTTCGTCGACACCTTCGTCGACTTCTCCGTCAGCGGCGGCCTCTTCCTGCTACCCTCCCCGCCGGCGCCGCCGCCGCTGCAGACCCTCCACCCCGCTCCCGACCGCCTCGTCGCCGTCGGCGACCTCCACGGCGATCTCCCCAAGTCCAAGCAGGCCCTTGCCCTCGCCGGCCTTATCGACGGCGAGGGCAGATGGGCCGGCGGCTCCTCCACCCTTGTCCAGGTCGGCGACGTCCTCGATCGCGGCGGCGACGAGCTCAAGATCCTCTACTTCCTCGAGAAGTTGAAGCGGGAAGCCGCCAGGTCTGGAGGTAAGGTTATTACTATGCATGGGAATCATGAGATTATGAATGTGGAAGGTGACTTTAGGTACGTGACCCAGCATGGATTAGAGGAATTTAGGGTTTGGGCTGATTGGTTTAGGACTGGGATTGCTATGAAGGGGCTGTGTAAGGGGTTGGAGAAGGAGAAGGACCCTTTTGATGGGATCCCAGTAGCTTTTCCTGGCGTCAAGGAGGACCTTTTTGATGGTTTTAGGGCTAGAATTGCTGCACTGCGGCCCAGCGGGCCGATTTCAAGTCGTTTCTTGTCGCAAAATTTGACGGTGGTGGTTGTTGGCGAATCTGTTTTTGTTCATGGAGGGATCTTGGCGGAGTACGCGAGTTACGGATTGGAGAGGATCAACGACGAGGTGAGGGATTGGATTAATGGCCTAAAGGGGAGATTCTCGCCACGTTACATGAGAGGGAGGAATTCTTTAGTTTGGTTGAGGAAATTCTCGGATGAGGTTGCAAAGAACTGTGATTGTTCTGCCCTTGAGCATGCTTTAGCCACGATCCCCGGTGCGAAGAGGATGATCATGGGGCATACCATCCAGGAGTCTGGGATCAATGGGGCTTGTAACAATAGGGCGATTAGGATTGATGTTGGTATGTCAAATGGATGTGGTAATGGTTTGCCTGAAGTTTTGGAGATAAACGGGAATTCGGAGTTGAGGATCTTGACATCCAACCCTCTTTACCAGAGTAAGCACAAGTCCCACTTAGGTGATGATAGAAAGAGTGGGCTCGGATTGTTGCTCCAAGAAGGGGGACCAAGGCAAGTGGATGTGAAGGCTTGACTGTCCCAAAGGCCAGTCTCCCTGAATTGACTAGTTTTATTGGATTTGTTACAGAGGTAATTGCTGGACGATGTTGGGTCTTATAGTACAGTATTCAAATTTAGACAGTCATTCACCTTGTATACCATTGAGAATAAATGGACTTATTTATGAGAGCTTTCCACGTGATGTTCACATTGTAGCTGGAAAGAGTAGACTAATTATTTTCTGATGAAGGCTTTGAAATCTGTAAGCCATTGATTATGAATAGGGTATAATCATGTATAAATGCATTCTCGGAACGTCAAAAATTTTACTTTGTACTGTGAAGTTGATTTTTACCTTTCCCTCCTCTTCTCTTTATTTCATGTCAAATGTTGCTGCAAAACTGCAGAAAGTTGCAGCCCAGATTAAAACATGCGTGCTTGGATTTCATGGAAGTTCATCAGCATATGTCAGTTGTCTTGAGTTGATCGGTATTTGACTCTTTTGTTGTTGCGAAGATTTAGAGTCTAAGAGAGCATCTGTCTTAGTTCCATTAGGAGAGTACATATACCCTCTCTGCTATATGTGTTAGGGAGCATAAAATGTTTTCATAAGATATTAGAAATCTGACTTTGTCAAATGTTTTCATGTGAATGAAATGGGTTGTTAGTTGGGTTGGATTGTGGTAGTAGATTTAATTAGCTGGATCTGGATTCTAACCGAGGACCGGAGATTGTCCAACAGGCTGTAGAGTTGCCGTATAACATACTTCATCAAACCGAACGATGCCAACATTTGTAGGGAAGCCTATTTGCAAGATATATAGCTATTAAAACTGTTTTTTCCAAGTTTATTATGGCCTCTATACCAGATACGACACCACAACAAGAGCAACAGCTAAATGACGAATTGTCCTTTTCTTAGTAGTGATCTTGGTACATATGTCTCGGTACATATGTCTCTTTTCAAAGATCAAGTATCCATAAACCTCATTAGTTCATTTAAGTACACATTTCTCAGGCATTTCTCCCAGTACAATTCACAGAAAATGTTTGGGCTTATTGTGTGGGAAATCTTTAACATGAGCAACTGCAATGATACACACACCATTTTAACTAATACAAATGAGTCCAGTAGTAATATTTGTTTAACACGCGGAGATACAGAGTCTATAGGTTGAATAGATCATGTCACTGCAGTATTCCTACACGACTTGAGATTTTCTTATTGTCATCTAAATATCTTGTGACTACAAGCTTGTAAGAGACTGATTCCAACCGATATATGGGAAATTTCTTCCCTAAAGCTTCACTTGTCTATCAGAAATCCAGCTGAAGGGAATAGTGAGTGCTTCCTCGGCCCTTTCCCAAGCTCTCGCCTCCAGCCTTCTAATTTTTGGTATTAAACGGCAGACGTAATCTTGGGCTCTTCTTCCCTCTGCTGAAAGTCCAGTCAGATTCTCCACCTTCCATGTCCCCACCAGAACTCCAGAACATCTGAATAGTCCTTTGCCGTGTAAATGCCGAGCCTCTGCACAATGGCCGAGTAATGGGAGAAAATGTTGTCATCACAACCATCATACGTCAGATGTGCTGGCATAGTGATTCTCTTTCTCATCATGTCGGCAAGTGCCAAGACAGTGCCATCTGGATCGATCTCAAAGAGCTTCTTCGTGATTTTTGTATAGGCTGCTTCGTGGTGCTTCTCATCTGATGCAATTGTACCACAAATTTGAGCCAATTTCATATCCCCGAGTGCCTTGGCAAGCCTGCTGGTATTTCCGTGAGAAATAGATGTCGCTCTTTCTTGAAATGAAGTGTATATGAACAACAGGTAAGGTAGGGACTGTTTTCTGTTCGAGGATCCTAGGAAAAAAAATATAGAAAGGTAATCAGCTCCAAGGAGTACAGAGTTGCCTCAAACTTTTGTGGCATCTTTCTCAACTGATTCTTGTGGGATGACTCTTGAAGATAAAAGTCATATGCATGAATCACTGTTCAATTGCAGAGGCATAACATAAATTTGAAGATGACAATCAACAATTACGAGATGCGATGGACATGTATGTCAACCAAAATGATTCCAGTGCATTCAGTATCTCTTTCAGCTGCTAAGGATTTGCATGCATATGATTATGACTTCGTGCCGATGGACTTGCATATTAGTTGGTCATAGTAGAGATAGGATCTCACCATCCCTGCCCCGATCAGATATTGAATCGTTTTCTCAATTCGCTTCATGTTCACTCGTCCAGACAGGTACAGATACTTGTTCAGGAGGTCACCATGTCTGTTCTCCTCTGCAGTCCATGCCCTTGTTCAAACGGCCCAAGGTGTTAGGCTCGAAGCTGTCTCTTCTCTAACTCCGTCCAAAGTATTAAGCATTGTCTGATAAGTAGGAAGGGCTTCTTCTGTTATCATGCTTCCAACCAAAGCAACAAAGTAGTCATCAGGGATTTCCCTAGACCTCTCCCTAAGTTCCCTAACTTGTTCTTCAAATCCGTCTGATGCTGCATCCGGCAGAAAGTCTTGTGGTTGCCAACAATTCTCGACGGGTTTCAAGTGAACCAATACATTCTTCTCGACCCAATCCTCCATGGACTTGAATATTTCGATCTTTTCAGGTCGCATAGAGTGGGTTACCTGAACATGCACCTCCCTGCGAAGAATAGAAGGCTTCTCGACGTACTCAACCTCCCTGCATTGAACATATGATTTCTCAAGGTTCGTTACAAGCCGGAAACAAATTGGATGTTGGATCTAGTTAAATGTCAAATCGTGAAATGGTGTTCCTCTGCGCTCAAATAATAGGAATAGTAGACGTGCAGATTCACATGGATTGCAAGGACTTTGGCTGGTTGGGGAGGAATTTGAACTTAAACATAAGGATTGACCCGACCACTCCACACTCTACCGAAAATAATTACGTCTGTCCATGCTAATTCAGTTTTCCAGCTTGTGTTTTGATTTTTTTTCTTTCATTTTGGAAGTGAGAAATCTACTCGATTCCACTTGATATTTTTCTTTGAATTGTATTCAATTCAATAGGCAGAAAAGCAAGGCGTATGAAGAGATACTCTGTTCAAACAGAAGTTCCTTGATCATTCATAAGAACCAAATGATACTGAATCGGTATTGATAGCCTTAACTCGCGCCTTAGCTTGTCTCTTGCCTGGAGCTTCTTTCATTGCTAGACCAACCAAGGAACCGGCAAATACTTCTGCTACCAAAAAAGGTTGTGATAAGAAATTCTCCATTTTCTCGTGCTCCTGTTACGGTGGGGTGGTTGAAGGGTGCAGGATAGAGACAGATCGAGATCTTTGGGGTTACCAATTTGATATCTCAAGGTTTGTGTTTTCGGTAACTTGGAGGCTCGGGATTTATTCTGATAGTCAGGTTCATTTGTTACGAAAAAAACTTTATGATAAAGAAAAGTGCTTTACAGGAAATCATTTTTCATGAAAATACTTTTCCCTTTTCAGGTTAAAGAATTCATTTTTCTAACTTTAAGCATACATATTTTCTTTGATCATAAATGATTTTCCATTGACCAGTCATTTTCATAAAACCAAATGCGTAAAAGTCCGGCAAACTAATTTGCGGAGAATTTTTTCGCTCAAACAAACACACCCAAAGATGAGATCGAATCATCATATCTCCACTTCAAGGTGGTAAATTGAAGATGTCGATTCAACCTCTTAAAAGGAACTACCACAAATCATAGTTTCGCTCAACCATAACGTAACTTTCGCATGATCTTACAAAAGATTTATATACTTTCTGCACCTCAACATGGAAACTGAAATCAAGCACTTTCATTAGCTCCAAAAGAACGAGTGAACGGAAGAAGGGGAATGTTGAAAAATCACTTGGTGGCGCTAGAGCGAAGATTGGAGGACATGGACTTGGGAGATCCGAGGCTGCCATCGGCGATTGGAGGCAACTTAAAAGAAAGTGACTTCAGGGGTTTAGAAGTGAGAAATGGATTGAGTTGGAGGGCCATTTTTGTTTATTGATGATATGTGTTGCTTTTTGCTTGGCTTGGTTTTCTCTTTGCGGACGAGACTGCACAATCTGATTTTGAGCAAACTTTGGGGGGTCTTATATGAGGGCATGTAATGGACGTTGTTAATATCATGTTTCAAGTTTGAGCCCCTATACAGAATCCGACCTGATTTGTGGATGTGCATTAGTTTATTAATGAAATTTGTAAGGAAAGAAATCCAAAGAAACTCTATATACGTTGAGATTCGTTTTTCTTTGGTTGGATAAATATCAAGGTTTGATTGGATAAAGATAATCCCAGTGGAGCTTGACTTTCTAGGGCTGTCTTGGATCCTTGGTAGTAGTTACCGTGGGTAGCTCATCAAAATAGGAGAAGCTTAAACTTCCGATTGGGGCCACCCTGCCTGTCCCCTGCTTGTCCAGGTGTATACACCTGGTAGGCTGACGGGACTGCATCCCTTATTCTGGTGAAGAAGACAATTCGTGGGTTTGCTAGTCCGAACAAGTCAGAGAACGGGGCGCGTGCCCTGTGAGTGCTATAGAAGGGAGTTCAAGCGGGACTTTGTGCGGGGCTCAGTTTGTTCGTGGGCCTCCTTCAAGCTGCACATGGGGGTCTGTGTAAAGAGAACCCTGCATCCAATCAAGACGTTCTCTTGGTGAAGACGTGAGTGTTTAAAGATGTGAGGTAATTTTTGTGATCTATTTTAAGAGAGCAATTACATGAGGCTAAACACTGTGGATTCTGAGTGTAGTTTTAGATTGGGAAAAATTTGAGCATGTAAGGGATTGTAACTCTGTAATTCTTTAATTATTAATAGATTATTTGCTACTGGTTTTCTCTGTGGAGTAAATATTGATACTCGGATCGATTTTAGTGAATTATTTGTTGCCGATACTCCCAGTGGAGTAGATACCGACACTTGGACTGAACCACTTCTTTATCGTTCCTCGTTTATTTCTTCAGTGACTTTGCATTGATTTGATTGAACGATTTGGTTAGTTTCCGTGTTATATTACAACAGACGTGAAGCTAGAGATTTGTTTTTTGGGGTAATCAAGCTGGAATCTTACCATGAACTTGAATCACATTAACCACATGCACATCAGGCTGAACTGCCAAGAATAAAACGTAAAGCGCAATGAGCTAAGTACATTGCTCGAGATGCTTTATGTTGAAGAATTGCACCTCCTCTCTTCTCTCAAGCATTCGGGATATTTCTAAGTTACCTAAGTTTTCAGATATTTTGTTGAAAGATATTTTAAATAGAGTGTAGAATTATTTTGGAGTAACATGTACCTAAAAATATCTAGAAAGGATAGAAGTAATTACAGAGGGAATATCCAAGCTAAGAAATATCTAGAAAGACATTTTACTGCCTCTTTAGGCCTACAAGTAGGCAAGTGCTCCCATTAGAGCAAGTGTGGTGGGTGAGAGCTTGGCTCCCATAAGTGGGTGTGTGAGAGAGTGCTTGGCACCCAAGGGCGTGTATATGTTGTCCTAACCGATATAAGACTAAGAGCGTGTTTTCTTTAAGTGAGCCTTTTGTCTTTTTCACCAAGTGGTATTAGAGCCACGCTTCCGCAACTCGACAATTAGGATCAAGAGCCAACGAATTGGGACTGTATCAAAGCAGGTGATCGGGAACTGTGAACCCACCAACTGGGAGGCATGGTACGCGAAGATAGTTGATTTCCTATTGAGATTGATAAAAGTAAAGCCAAGGCTATTTCGGAATTACCGACACCGGCAAATAAAGAAACAATTGCAAATGGTGGTAAGAAAAATAATTTTTTTACATTGGTTTATTTCTAACTTGTCTAGCAAAATATACGTTTTTTCTCCTTTACTTAGGTTAAAAAATCAAGAAGAATTTGTCTGGAAGAAAAGCAACAACTTGCCTTCGATCAACTTAAGGAACACTTAATTAATCCTTATCTTTTGATGCCACCTAAAAAGGGTAGGCTGTTGAAACTCTATTTGTGGGTGACTGATACTACAATCAGAAGCATGTTGGCACAAGATAATGATGAAAGCAAAGAGCCAGCAGAGTAATATCTTGGTAGAATGTTGAATGATATGGAGAGGAGATACATCGCGATTGATTGAAAAGATGTGTTGGTCCTTGTATTTTGCATGTACCAAATTACAGGGGGAAATTATCCAAAAAGTATCAAACTTATTGTACGATGACCAATTCAGTACTAAAACCTTTCAATTATGCTTATTTAATCTCAAACTTTTTGAGGATTTGTCAATTTAGTCCTAAACCTTTTAACGAACTTATCGGTAGCCATGAATAAAAATGATCAAGTACAGTTATCGACACACGATGATAGTTGGTTGACGATTGACACTCAAAATAAATTTAGTTAAGTGTCGAAGGTAGAAATAGAAGACAATAATAATGTCAGTTGAGGAGTCGTAAACGGTTTGTAGAGAAGGATAACGTGCAATCGTAAAGAGCAATCATGGAGCCTAAAATTTCAGAAATGCAAATGAGTCCAGTGACAATCGAAGCCACTTAGAATAAGACAAACATTCGATTATAGGATATGATCATGAAGCCGAAAATCATGGATATGTGGCTGCAACTTCTAATTTGAATGTTAACCGCTTAAGAGCGATTGCGTTTTGTAATAGGCTATTGAAGCTGTGTTGAATGTTGTAGAGGAACCCTCAATCATCAACACAACTAAAGTTTCTTTCAAGTTATCAAATTTACTTTCCAGTTCCTGCATTTTCTATCTTTTAAAGTAAGTAGTTCTAGTTCTTGTTCTTGGGTATGCACGATACTTCCTGTCCGAATTGCCACGGAACTTGATTTAAATAAAAATCGAACGTCTAACCTTCGGTGAAAGGTATTTTGTAGAGTGGAGCCATTCTCGGTGGAACAAGCGGGAAAGAGTAGACTAATTATTTTCAGATGAAGGCTTTTGAAATCTGTAAGCCCTTGATTATGAACAGAGTACAGTGAAGAATAAATGCATTCTCGGAACATCAAAATTTTACTTAGTACAGGGAAGTTGATTTTTACCTTTCCCTTCCCTCATTTCTTTATTTCATGTCAAACGTTGCTGCAAAACTGCAGAAAGTTGCAGCCCAAATTTAAACATGCGTGCTTGTTTTTCGTGGAAGTTCATTGGCAATGTCAGCTGTCTTGAGTCGATCGGTATTTGACTTTTTCGTTGTTGTGCAAATTTAGCCTCCAGCATTGGTTGTCTAAGAGATCAACTGTCTTAAGTTCCGGTAGGAGAGTATGTACACCCTTTCTGCTATATGCTTGGCTATGTTGGGGAGCATAAAATGTTTCCCTAAGATTTTATATATCTGACTTTGCCAAATGTTTTCATGTGAATGAAATGGGTCGTTTAGTTGGGTTGGATTGTGGTAGTAGATTTAATTAGCTGGATCTGTATACTAACTGAGGACCAAAGATTGTCGGACAGGCATTAGAGTTACCATGTAACATGCTTCATCAAACCGAAGGTCGTCAACATTTGTAGGAAAGCTCATTGGCAGGAAACATAGCTATTAAAACAGTTTTTTCCAAGTTTATTATGCCTTCTTAACCAGATACGCCACCACAACATGAGCAACAGCTAAATGACGACTATTTCTTTTCTCAGTGATGATCTTGGTCCATTATTATCTTTACAAAGATCAAGTATATCCATAAACCTCATAAGCTCATTAAGTACATATTTCTCAGGCATTTCTCCTAGTACAATCCACAGAAAATACATGGCCTCAATGTGTGGGAAATCCTTAACATAAGCAACTGCAATGATACATGCGCCATTTTAACTAATACAATCAGTCCAGTAGTAATATTTGTTCAACATGCGGAGATACAGAGTCTATAGGTAGAATAGATCATGACCCTGCAATATTCCTTCAAGACTTGAGATTTTCTTATTTTCATCTATATATCTTGTGACTACAAGCATGAGAAAGACTGATTCCAACCGATGTATAGGAAATTTATACCCTAAAGCTTCACTCGTCTATCAGAAATCCAGCTGAAAGGAATAGTAGGTGCTTCCTTGGCCCTTTCCCAAGCTCTCTCCTCCAGCCTTCTCATTTTTGGTGCTAAACCGCAGACGCAATCCTGGGCTTTTCTTCCCTCTGCTGAAAGTCCAGTCAGATTCTCCACCTTCCACCTTCCCACCAGAAACTCCAGAACATCTGCATAGTCCTTTGCTGTGTAAATGCCAAGCCTCTGAACAACGGCTGAGTAGTGGGAGAAAATGTTGTTATCACAACCGTCATACATCAGATGTGCTGGCATAGTGATCCTCTTTCTCATCATGTCGGCAAGTGCCAAGATAGTGCCATCTGGATCGATCTCAAAGAGCTTCTCCAAGATTTTTGTATAGGCTGCTTCATGGCGCTTCTCATCTGATGCAATTGCCCCACAAATTTGAGCCAATTTCACGTCCCCATGTGCCTTGGCAAGCCTGCCGGTATTTCCGTGAGAAATAAATGTCGCTCTTTCTTGAAATGAAGTGTATATGAACAACAGGTAGGGGCTGTTTTCCGTTCGAGGGTCCTAGAACAAAAATATAGAGAGGTAATTAGCCACAAGAAGTACAGAGTTGCCTCAAATTTTAGTGGCATCTTTCTCTACTGATTCTTGTGGGATGACTCTTGAAGATAAGGGTGCGCATGACAATCATTCTGTACCCGGGAACTATTTCTACTCAGAAATGATATTTTTTGATTCTATGCCCGGAAACAATTTCTGAGCATTTAAAGGCGTTTGGTAACTGTCCAAAATTTCTATTCCTGGGATAGAAAAGAACATAAATATGTTTCGTAACTACACAAAATTTCTTTTTACTAATAATATTTTAGATTGTTTAATATTTTTTTTCTTTCTACCCTTCTCTTCTTTGGCCATGGCCGGTTGCCGGCGCCGGCGACCGGCCACAGGCCAGGGCGTCGCAGCCCTGGCCGCCGCCCTCACCGCCTGCCTCACCGCCGAGCCTTGCCCAGATCGGGCGAGGCCGACCTCGCCATGATCGACGGTGAGCCGCCTCACCCAGGCGGCGAGGGTCCAGCCCTCGCCCTCGCCGGCGAGGGGGACCCTCGCCTCCGCCGGCGGCCGGCGAGGGCCATGATGCCCTCGTCGGTCCTGGGCTATGGCCGGTCGCCGGCGACCGGCCACAGCCCAGGGAAGAACAACACAAAGAAGAAAAGCAAAAAAAAGAAAAAGAAGAAAAAGAACTCATTCTCAAAATTGTACCGAGAAACAAGAAGCAACTTTTTTTACTTCTTGTTTCTCTTCCAAAATTGTTTCTGGGCACAAATTTTTGCAAAAATGTGCCCGGGAACAAAAAGTTTACCAAACGTATTTCTGTTCCCAAACTATTTCTAGGAACAAAAGAACAGAAATTTTCACTGTTTAGCACGTTACCAAACGGGCCCTAAAAGTCATTTACACAAAATCACTGTTCAATTGTAGAGGCATAACATAAATTTGAAGATGACAATCAACAATTACGAGATGCAATGGACATATATATCGACCAAAATGATTCCAGTGTCTCTTCCTGCTGCTAAGGATTTGCATGCATATGAGTATGACCCTGTGCTGATGGAGTTGCATATCAGTTGGTCATAGTAGAGATAGGATCTCACCATCCCTGCCCCGATCAGATATTGAATCGTTTTCTCGATTCGCTTCATGTCCACTCGTCCAGACAGGTACAAATACTTGTTCAGGAGGTCACCATGTCTGTTCTCCTCCGCAGTCCATGCCCTTGTCCAAATGGCCCAAGGTGTTAGGCTCGAAGCTGTCTCATCTCTAACTCCGTCCAAAGTATTAAGCATCGTCTGATAAGTAGGAAGGGCCTCTTCTGTTATCATGTTTCCAATCAAAGCAACAAAGTAGTCATCAGGGATTTCCCTAGCCCTCTCCCTAAGTTCTTTAACTTGTTCTTCAAATCCATCCGACTCCGGGTCCGGCAGAAAGTCTTGTGGTTGCCAACAATTCTCGACAGGCTTCAAGTGAACCAATAAATTCTTCTTGGCCCAATGCTCCATGGATTTGAATATTTCGATCTTTTCGGGTGGCATGGAGTGGGTTACCTGAACATGCGCCTCCCAGTGAGGAACAGAAGGCTTATTGACCTTCTCCCTGCATTAAACATATGAATAGTTAGTGATTTCTTATGGTTCGTTACAAGCAGGAAATAGATTGGATGCCTGATCTAGTTAAATGTCAAATCGCGAAATGGTGTCCCCTATGCGCTCGAGTAACAGGAACTAGATTGAGGATTCAAATGGATTATAAGAACTTTGGCCAGTTGGCATACTGATACTCAGGAATTTGAACTTAAACATAAGGATTGACCAGAGCACCCCCACTCTACTGAAAATAAGAACGTCTGTTCTTGCTAATTCAGTTCTCCATATTTGTTGTTGTTGTTTTATCTTTCATTTTGGAATTAAGAATTAGCTCATCATATAAGAATCTACCCGGTTCCACTTGATACTTTTCATCGAATTGTATTTAGTTCAGTCGGCAGACAAAAAAGGCGTATAAAGAGATACTATGTTTATACACAAGTCCTTGAATATTCGCAAGAACGAAATGATTATGAGTTGGCATTGTTAGCCTTAACTCGTGTCTTAGCTTGTCCCTTGCCTTGAGTGATCTCCTAGGATAGCTATAAAGTCATGAATTTCTTTAAAACGGTGTGAAGACTGCCTAATTCTTTGCTCAGTTTCATAAGTTTCGTGCTAGTGTGGTGGTTGGCGCCGGTGCTGGAGGTGATGCACACCTTGGTGTAGTGGCTAGACGAACTCGGATGATATTGAATCATTTGATCAGCACTACAAGGTGTTGAATTGAAGATGCCCGATTTGACCTCTTAAAAAAGGGAACTATCGCAAAGCATAGTTTTGCTCATCGATACCATAAGCTATGTGCAGTTCTTGCGAAAGATACATAGCACATGCATTCAACATCAAAGACTTTATCACATTCTTATTAGCTCCAAGAGCAGGAGCGAATGGAAGAAGGGGAAATGTTAAGAAACTCACATGGTGGCGGAGCCAGAGCCAACATTGCAGGACATGGACTTGGGAGACCTGTGGCTGGGATTGGCGGTCGAATGCAACTTGAAGGAAAGTGACTTCATGGGTTTAGAAGTGAGAAATGGACTGAGTTGGAGGGCCATTTGCTTCTCTCTTTTGATTTGTCAACGACGTAATGAGCAGCTTTTTGACTGGCTTGGTTTTCTCTTTGAGAAGGAGACTCCACGAAGATGATTTTGAACAAATTCTGGGGGGTCTTTATATACGGCAATGGAATGGACATGAAGGGGTAATCGAAGCTGGAATCTCACCATGAGCTATAAGTATACTACTAACTTGATCATTACTCATTGTTGTTGATACTTAGTCATTACTCACTGTTGAATCAGTCAAAACTGTTTATAGTCAAGAAAATACTCACTGTTGAATCCATCTCAAAATTGGTTACAGCTAGATCGTCCATTGCTATCTACAAAATCCGGAAATGGGTTAACTAGGCCCCACCAGGAAATTCACCAACTCAAAATGTCATAACTACTTTTTTTCAGAGTGATTCGACTAAGAAAATCTTGAAATATCACAGTTTTGTCCTCGAAAAATCACATGTTAGGCACATGTAGATGAAAAAATAGATGGGTTCGTGCAAGTTTTTAATGCTATATAGACATTGTTAAGCATAATCTATCGTAAATGTTTGACTTTCGAAACGATAGTTAGGCATGAATAATTATGATCATTTGCCTGATTTTCGAGACATTGCATGAGCGCAACGGTCCCTCCAAAGTCCCAAGTGGAACCACCACGCAGTCAATAAGTGGGCGCAACATTTAATATAAGATGAAACAACCAACTTGTAAAAAGACTAAAGAAAGTATATAAAATATTTATCGTAATTGAGCAAGTGTAACCAATGTTTCGAAAGTCTGAAAATTTATGATATAGCATCAAAAAGTTGCCTGGACCTCTTGCAAGCATTGATGAGTTGAGTTCCACAGTTGTACATGGTTGAATCATACTCAGACTGTAATCCTAAACATAGGAAACGCATATACTAAATTTGTTTACAAGGTGTGCATGACTAATGTCTTGAAGCGTTTATATGAACACACCAACTATTAATAACTACTTATAAAGTATTACGGCATTAACAATAATTATCATTACTATTGTTATTGTTATCTTTTTATTTTTTTTTCTTTGGCTATAATTAGCTGTTTTGATTCGAAAATTATATAATTTGTATTTTATATTTCAATTAGCAAACCACCGCCAGTCCTGGCAAAGTTAGCGTTTGTCGTTGTAGTCACTAAAGTGGTTTCACTCATCTCACCTGTAAATTAATTTCTCTCTGATTGAAAGATTGCTCAATTTGATGCTCTTTTCTCTCTAAGTATTTCAATCATGTAGTATATGACTCGTAGAGACAACAATAATTGTCAATCAATCCAGAAATACTCAGCATGTTTACAACTCAATTGGCAAAATCGAAAAGTTTATGATTAAATTGAAAAAAGTGTAATATATTTAAAAAATTTTAAATAATATTTTTCGAAATGATTGCTTTTTGGCTGTGATAGATCTGTGTAAAGTCAAATATGGTTTCCCCACTTGATATAATCTTGGGGGCCCTAGTCTGACATTATAAATGCGAGACTTCATTCAACATATGTGGACATGACGCTTTCGATGCACTCTGAAATTTAGTCAAGCGATAGAAAAAGGTAAAACTCTATTATAAATTTATCGTTCCATGCCCGCCCTCACCTATGGTCACAACTTGTAGCCTTCATGCAACTACCAAGGGAACCTTCTTGTCCCCAACCTGAATTACCTATAGAGCCACCGCTAATATATATATATATATAGTGACGTGCATTGTAAGGGAATGAGATTGTACAGATATTACTATAAAAAGATTGAAAATGCTGAAAGCAAAGAAATAAAGTTGCCTCAGTATCATTTAATCGTATCTAGCGAGAAATAAGTGCATGTCAATTTTTGATGGAATGTTTTTCAAAAGATTATCTGGTGTTTTTCATTAAAATTCTCATTAATCAAGTTTTTTCTTAAAAAGTTACCGTGTCTACCTATTTTAACTATAGAGTCCATCAATATAAATAAATATGCAGACCGCTTCTTTTTAATTTTTACGAACTAACTGTGAGTCATGTCACCTATATAAATTACGAAAATCAATTTGGGACCATATTACATTGATAGCTTACAACGCCATAATCATGTATAAGAGTTTTTACTTTATCGCAACCAAGCTAAATTTGTTAAATTATATATTTGAAAACTTAGATATATATATATATTTTATCACTTAGGAATTTTGCACATGAAACTATTTAATCGTATTATGAATCGTGGGACCTTTGTTGTAGTCACTAAGTATTTCCGGATTGATCGACATTTATTGTCGTCTCTGCAAGTTATATACTACATGCTGCTTACCCGCAAAAAATATACGTGAATGATACTTTGTGTCGTTGTCGTCGTCGTCGCCATGATCATCGTCTAAGTTGGATAGATCGTGGATCAGTTTGCATCAATCGGACATCCAACTTTGTGCAGAGCATGAAAGGGGGGCACGAGAAATGCGTCCAACATCGTCCACAAGCATTAAATGAAGGTCCGTCCATGCCAACCGAGCCTACATAAGCATCGAGTGAATAAAGGACAGACTCTGAAAATTGCATCAGTCGTGCATTTTCAGAGGAGTTGGCAGGACTTTACGAGGCTACAAGTTTGGCCCAAAAACAAGACGCGTTGTCCTCTCAAGGCAGTTGGAGGGGCTTTAATAGGCGGCTATGATATCAATGCACGAGATGCAATAATGCGTCCCCATAAGAAGGAAATTTTTTCTGACAGGGTAAAGGAGGGAAAGGGAAAACGAGGCGGTAGAGACTCCGAGTGGACGTTATCATATAGATTTCGCACGTCAGACTTTGTCACGGTACGAGTCATAACTTCTTCACACCGCCTGCACCTGAAGGTCCAAGGTTGGTAAGCCCATCGCTATATGGTGTACAGTTAAACTATTTTTAACTGTGTAATCCAATTTTAGTGGCTAAAAATCTGTGTAACATTGCAAGCCAAAGCTAAGTAATAAACCCATGTCTAGTTTATTTATGCTGTGACATTCTGAAATCCGATCCACTTGGGATTTATGAAATGAATGATTTATGGACGTGCTTGTAGTTAGATCTCGCCCGAAATTGATCACTTCTGGGATACTAACTGTTAGGGAAAGGCTAATTAGGGATTTAAATTCGCGCGACCAAAGAAACTCGATCGTGAATCGACTTTCGACCATAAAAATTGTCGAGGTGATATTTTGAGACAATGTAGGCCGATCCAAGGATAGTTAGGGATCAATTCGCCGCTGTTATATTAGTGGATCGCGGGTGATTCCGCTTGACCACGAGATAAATTGACGAATGACCCTAAACCTATACCAAACGATCGCGCCCGTCGGAACTAGCGATCGATCCTCGCGATTAAGTGACAACCGAGGTCGTCACGACCCGAGTGAACTTGAACGTGGCTTGATTCAGTATCGGCCACGGGTCAAATGTGCGAATTTCCCCAAAAGTCACCCGTTAGTTCGAGATATGTTCAAGTTACGTTAATTAAATTTGGTCATTAATTAACGATCAAGATTGGGCCTCGGAAATTATGAATGTCACGACAGGATAGTTGGACGACATTGTTATTGGCTTGAAATACACATGAAAATGTTGAAATTATGCCCATGTTAGTGGCTGTGATTGTGGGTCCAATGGCGGCCTTGTATGCTCGTTGGATTGTGAATTGATTGATTGAATTGTGGACCGTCATATGCACGTATGGGCTGAATTGATTTGACTGGCAATTGGCCATAATTGGGCGTTAATTGAGCATGTGAAATGCGTGAGGTTCGATGTGTGCATGGGCCGAATTTGATCGGCTGGTAACTTGGCATGTTGGTGTGTAAATCGAGCGAGTGAATGAATGAGAAATTGTATGAGATGTTGTGCGTGTGGTCACGAAAGTCCATGAGGTGGTACTATGACGCGGGGAATTGTCCCGTCCTGAAGCGGTACGTTAACGCGGGACGATGTCCGGTATTACCGGAAGACTGCCAACATGAGGCGTGTACTTCAACGCGGGTTGTGCCGTAAGTGGTGGATGTTGAGCCTGAGGCGATACTGTTACGCGGGCAAGATACATAGCCTGAGGCGGTACCATAACACGGGCTAAGAAGTGTTGTGAAAATGAGATGGTCATGTGGACCGTGAATTGACAGTGGACCTGAGGCGGTACTGTTACTCGGGTCGCTGGCAAGTCGAATGAAAGTGATATGATGGTGCATGAATGAGTGCGTGTCGAACGCCGAGTTTAGAAATGAGAATTAATTTGAAATGTGCATGTGGTTGGAATTTGTGTTATTGTGGTTAACGTGCAGGTTGCACGTATTAAAAGCCCAGGCAAGTGCAATTGTGTGCCTGTGATGTGCTTATTGAGTGTTATGGTGTTTGAACTTGTCTGGAGGTACGTGTTAGCCTAGGTGGGGTTTAGGGTGTGTACTTGCTGAGACGTGTTCTCATTGTTGTTTCAACCAAACAATTTCAGAACCCTGGCCCGAACCATGAATCTTCCACCACCGCCGCCGCAGCGTTTTGGTATTCCGATGCACACCGGCCATAATGTTGTAGAGTACCCGATAGACGATAATATGACCTGGATCAAGCATACTACCGTAGTTTGGGTAGACATAGGGCAACCTCTTTAGCAGGCCCACACCTATACCGCCCGGATGTTTCGGGACGGAATGGATGAGTTTGGCCCCGTCCGTGGCTTTGATGGAGTAAGGGATTGGGATCCGACAGCCATACCCCCTCCTTACGGTGAGATGACTAGTCTGGATACTAGTCTCGCCCAGTCCGGACATCAGCCTGTGCCTGCAGCACCTGAACCTTCAGTGGCTGAGCCTGATCCGGAGCCGGAGGAATCACAAGCAGGGTATGATCCTATGGAAGTGGATCTAGGTGTAATACCAGAAGAGGAACCCGGAGAGGAAGAGCCCGAAGAAGAGCCTGAGGAGGCACCAGAAGAAGAACCCGAAGACGAGCCAGAAGAAGACCCAGAGATGGAACCAGATGACGAACCAGAGGATGAGCCAGAGAATAAACCAGAGGAAGAGCCGGAAGAGGAGTCTGATGAGGAGGAGCGGGTTGAGATT